GGGAAGCCGGGCACGCCAGGCAGGGAGGGGGCATTCACTGCTGAGAAGCTGGGGGGATTGCAGCTGCTTTGCTCCCCATCTGCGGAAACGCAGAAGGTCAAGAGAGAAACCAGGCTCAGGAGGGTCTCCTGCAGGCTCTGTGAGTGGGTACGACAGTGCTGAGCAGTGCTCACAGCTGGTCATGTCAGCACAGAATGAGTGCACAGGAGGGTGGTGGTAGGAAGGTAATTACCCTCCTGTCAAAGCCTTTCCTGCATGAGGTTAACAAGTTGCAGAGGGCTGTAATGGGAGGCAGAGCTGGAGAAGCATCGCTGGGGCTCAGACAGATGAAGGATGCTCAGTGTGAGCATAGAATCATAGAACAGTCAGGGCTAGAAAGGACCTTAAGATCATCCAGTTCCAACCCCCCTGCCATGGGCAGGGACACCTCACACTAAACCATGGCACCCAAGGCTCTGTCCAACCTGGCCTTGAACACCACCAGGGATGGAGCATTCACAACCTCCCTGGGCAACCCATTCCAGTGCCTCAGCACCCTCACAGTAAAGAACTTCTTCCTTAGATCCAATCTAAACTTCCCCTGTTTAAGTTTTAACCCGTTACCCCTTGTCCTGTCACTGCAGTCCCTAATGAAGAGTCCATCCCCAGCATCCCTATAGGCCCCTTCAGTACTCGAAGGCATCCAGTATGATGAGGTCAGCACCTCACATCCTGACAAACTGCACACAGTTTCCTTAACCCAGGAAGTGTTGCTCTGGATGTCACCACTTCACCCACCCTGATGGAGAAGAATATGCAGTGAAGGCTCAGGTAGAGCGTCAATGTTTTCCTGCATCCAAGCAGTGCAAAGGAGAGACCTCCTCTTGTTAGACAAAGTGGACATGGCCCTGTGTTGGGGATGCCTCATAGGAATCCATCAAAAGGCTTCTCCAAGAGAAAGGCAAGCTTAGGAAGCAGCAAGGAAGGGGCCGAGTACAACCTTGGATAGGTAACAGTGTCTGTGCTTGGCAAGATTAAATCAGCAGGGACACATAACTGTGGGAAAGATACAAATGAGGGTTCTAGGCAGAGGAGCACAAAGTCATGCACGTTACAGGGAAGGTGAGTAGGGAATGAGTCACTGCCTGTGCTTGCTCCTGACCCAGGCCCCCGGCTCCTGTGGTGGAGATGCCCTGGGGTGTGGGTGCACGAGCGCTGTGGGGGCTTTGGGCTGTGGGTGCTATGCATATGCTGAACCTCTTCTGCATACGCCTTGCTTTCATGGGGCAGGGCTTTCTGGTATGGGCTGCCACGTGTCCTTCGGCAGCGTGCCGTGGGGCCAGGATGCCACAGCATCTGCTTGGGGTGATCTCACCCAGGATGTGGGAAACCGAGATAGAGGAGCTTTGTTGGGGGTGTCCCAGCAGGAGGTGTTGGTACCGTGGGGTCGTTGGTGCTGTTGCGGTGTGTGGGTTGGGCTTGGTGCTCCCTAGGGATGCCCTGCATGGTGCAATGTGGTGGCTGTGCTGTGGAATTGGGAACTGCTCTTGGCTGGGAAGTGGTGATCCTCTGGGGTATGGCTTGGGAACGTTGGGTATTCCTGGGATGTGTGGGAAGGTATCCCATGGACCTGAAAATGGGCCTTTTTCTTGCGAACTGCCCTGTGGTCTTTGTGTGTGTCTACTGACTGTCCTGTCCAAAAATGGGCTTTTCTGATGCGTTCATACAGAGGATACAGATCCCAAAAGAAAAAGACATCCTCGTTTCTTGGTATTCATTTTACATGCTGCAAATGGATAGAGACCCAAGCACATAGTCCTATATCAGCTCCATTGCTGAGCAACTCTTGATTTCCAAATCGGAGACATGTACTGAGAGCTATGCTGACATATCCTGCCCTTCTTCAGTGTCCAGAGAGCCCACTCAAGAATATGGAGGTAGGACTCACCTGTATTAGTTTTAGACAGTCTGCATTATGCTGAACTTGCTCTTCTAGCCTGTAATTTATAGGACCTTTCTCAGATGTGATTTGTGCCTGAAGAAGCTGTGGGATGGACATCTCTACTATGTATGCAATATCAATATTTAACCCTCCCAAGGGGTTCTGGATACACTGCTCCTTAATGGACTTTTGTAAGAGAAATGCTTAGCTGTTACATTGAAAACCACTTGCAGGTATGCCTGCTGCACTGTGGCTTAGAAGCAGCTTAGGGAAGGAATGCTCCCAGTTGCCAACGCAGTTTTGGTTTTGAAGTGCTGCTGCAAACCTGGCTCCGACGTCGGGGTTTGGGTGCTTTGCCTTTGTGCTGAACCCTTTAGTGCTTGCCCACCTTTCAAGGACCTCAGAAGAGCTCCTGGAAACGAGCTCTGAGCAGCGTGGCATGGGGTGATGCCTATCCCTTTTTCCATGCATGGATGCACAGGCTGTGCCAAGCCTGTCTGATATGAAGAGGTTTCACAGCCTAAGATACTTGTCAGTGGTAAGAATTAGTCCTCAGCCTTGCCTTGAGTAAACCTAAACACTGAAATCACCTTCCCCTTTGCCACGTTTCTGCTTTGAAGAGCTTTCTTATGAAGGAGATCAAGAGGATGCTGCTTCCTTGTTTCTTTTGTAAAAGCCAGCACTTACATGCTGCAGTGCTCCCCAGTACGGGAAGTACAAAGCCCTCAGTGCATCCTGCACATCCTGCCATCCCCATGTAGGCTGGGCTTACGTTACTGCGGGATGTGATGCAGAGACCAAATTCTTAGATGCTGTTGATGGCAATTTCATGGAGCAGGCTGGGCAGGCCCCAGAGCAGATGCAGCATTAATGTGGTCCTGATTAGCATGAAAAGTCTGGCCTCAAACCTTACATTTATAGAGCTGCCCCATAACATCAACATCTGGATCAGCAAAAGCCTAAATATCCAGTGCTCATCTTCTAAAAGGGGGACTTACAGGATAGTGTTTGTTATGGGAAAAAGAAAGGGAGAATTACACTTTACAGGCAATGTGGACTGTGCTTATCATACTGAAACACAATCCCAGCATCCCCAACCAATAAGGAATCCTAGAGGAAGGGCAGAAGGGAGCTGGCCTGGTTAAGCAGCAGCAGAAGGAGGTTATCAGAAGGTGTCTTTCAAAAAGCTGAAGACAAAAATAGGAAAGACATCATAACCTTTGCCAGGCCCAGCATAAACCATCCTAAATGTGCCAAAAAGGAACAACTAGCTGAAATCAGAAGAATAAGCCATAAACAGTAAAAGCATCTTCACATATATGGAGGAAATGGGATTTAAAGCTTCATTACTCAGACTGGCATAAGACAGAGCAGCTCAGTCTGATCACTGCTGGAGGCTAACAGGCTTTTACAAACCTTCATACAGATGCTTTATTCCTCCCTAACACTGGCAAGACAAACAAAATAAAACCAGTCAAACTGGGAAGCTTGAAGAAATTCCAGCAATTTTTATTGATTTCAGCTTTTCCAATGAAGCAAATACATACAGTACAGCCAAAACAAAACTCTGATACATTATTCTCACATACCTGTATCTTACAGAATACACTGTATAGCTATGGACTGGTAGGCTAAGTTGGTCTCAAACTAGTGTGTGGTCAGAGAGGAATAAAACTGCCTACTGCCTTCTACTCGTCCATGAGGCTTCTGAAATGCTGGGGTGGGTTGGATTGTACATACACAAAACAAAACAAAGCATTTATGAGAAAATTAGACCAAAAAGCTCTGCTAAGCCCAGGACAAACAAGTGTGGTATTTATTTACATGGTTGTGTGTCCTGCGCACAAATCAGGCCCCAACCGCTTTGGTTTCTGCTGCCGGCAGAGCTAAAGGTGCTGCTAGCTATGGCCCTTCCCTCCTCAGTCATTCTCCAGCACTGTGACCCAGGGCATGTGCTACATGCTGAGGACCTGCCCTTGTCCCTGTCATTGGGGGTACACCCTACTTTGGTTCTTAAAGAAGCAAGAAACAGGAAACCAGCTCATCGAAGAGGGTATCGCGGCTTAAAACATGCCTTTAAGAACACCTCCCTAGAATGAAAGAATAAAAACTGGACTGGAGGTGAGAACAGCATCCGGCTGTGCAGGAGGGAACCTCACTGAGCTCCCAAAAGTGCTGGTTATGAGCAACACCACTTACTCCAATAAGTCTGATTTTCCTTTCTCTTCTCATAATTTGGCATCAGTGTCACTTCACTGAGTTGAGTGGAGTTTGTAGTCCAGCGACTGAGAGGAAAACAGAGTTGAGCATCAGGAATTTCCTGGGAAGTAATAGCTGCAAAATAGCCCTGGGCTGGCAGAGCGGTTCCAGTTCACACAGCCCACTGCTCTCACGAGTTAGCTATATTCTGAGGTATGAAAGCAGTAACATACAGCATCATAAAACCCAAATGAGATTGGAAAGAACCTCTCTGGTGTGCCCAGCTCCAAGCAGGGATAACGTCAAAGCCAGATGAGATTGCTTAGGGTTGTGCCCAGTCATGTTTTGAACATCTCTGAGGATGGAGACAGACCTTTATTTTTATCATTTTATTAGCTTTGGAAAAACAACTTTGCTGTGTTCATAAAATGATGCATCTGTCTCTTGGAGTCTAATACTAATGAAATCTCTAGTCCTTGTAAATTTAATTGTGAGATGATGATCATCCAGCTACGGCTCTTTGCGCCTTATAAAGTGACTCAACAAACTGCATTACTGATGAAAGCAGTGGCAGCGCTTTAAAATAAAGCCTAAATAACAGCCAATTAGAATGAATTTCCTCAATATTCCATCATTACGTTTTGCAGTTAGGTTTCCCCAATTAATTTTACGGAGAAAAACATTAGCTCCCAGGACTCCTGCTGAACGTGTAATTACAGGAACACATCTGAATGCAAAATGGCACGCAACATGCTTTTTCACCAAAACTGTAGTAATCCTGCCTGTGGATACTGCCATTGTTTTGGGTATCCACAGTGTTGGGTCCTGCCAAAACCATTTTGAACTGAGAATATGTATCCAGCTAGGGAAGAGCTGGCAGATATGGCAAGGGCATGCCCACGGGCTGGGGCTCCTTTGCTGCTCTTTAAATGCTCCTGAAACTGTCCTACCGGATTCTCCTGGTTCTAGCTCCCACTTCAAAGGTGCTTTTTTTCCTCTCATTTGGCTGGGAGCGCGGTGCAGAAAGCTCTCGACTGAATGTGGGTGAAGGCAAGCAAAGAGTTGCTTCTCATTGAAGCGCACAAGATTAAGCCACTCTTTGTAGTCCAAGAGAAGAAAAAACCAGCTGGGAAATGATCTCCCTCTGTGGACACGTGCTCCCTATGGTCTAAAGGGGGGACGAACAAGTGCTACCATGTTTCTTAGCTCTAGAGCTGTGTCAGATCAAATCTGAACTTCATGGACGGTTCTTTAGCGGGCACGAATCACCCCATTTCTGTGAAGGAATGGGACATGCTGTTTCCCACCAATTTAGGAGTCTGACACTTGCAAGAAATGGGACTGTTTTTCCCTTTCCAGGCTCACAATTCATCCTTCCCAAGCACCTCCTGCACCCTGATATTTGCAAAACAGGGTCCTGTACCCCTGCACTGTTTGAAGAAGCAATAACTGTGGGTGGGGGAGAGCCAGCAAATGTATCTTCAGCTGGTCCTTTCCCTGTGGATCTGAGCTCCATCCCCTCCAGGGACAGGTAGAGGATATTTTTCTTCTGGACAGGGGAAGATCAGCTTCTTTCATCACACAGTTCCTGCCGTAAGAAGTGGGTTGGCCTAAGATAAGCTCAGCAATTGCCTATCACAGCTTTAGCATCACAGCGTGATTCATGTAATTAAGCATCCCAAGAATTAAAATATTTCCGAATTTGAATTCACACAAGTGCTTACATTCCTTTGCATATCAATACCCCCTCATTTCTCTCATTCTTGTGTGGCAGTCAATGCTCCCAGGGGAAAACCACTTTGCCTGTCTCCAGTTCAACTTCTCCAATGCCACGTTTGTCCAGGTACAATCATGAGACTGAGTTGTTCCGGTGCTCAGAATGGTTTGGGAGCCGGTAGTGTTCATGCTTTGCAGATGTGTTGTAATTGTCCCCTCACATGTAGCTTCAGAGAAGGGTTACTGAGACCCGGGAAAGACTTTGCAGACGTCAGTTCACTTCTTGAGACAAAGAGTTCACGTAACAGGAAAGAAAATGCTAATAACTATAAGAGCTCATTGGAGAAAAAAATCATAAGTGGAAAAGAAGCCCGTGTTCATAAATGTTAGGAATAACCAGCCTTTGTAAAGAAGAGTATCGTGTGTATCTGTTGATAACGGCCATATGCAATGGGGGAACTTGACCTAAAATCGGCGATTTTTATACTTGTGGGTAAAAATAAGTTGTGACAAGTCTGTAGTGTGGCAGTATTTGGTGCATGGGTTGGGTGGCATTGGACAAAACTCTCCAAGGGGGTTAAACTGCACAACTCACACTGACTTTCAGTGGAAGACAGGGGACTAAGCCTGTAGGAAGATCCTACTCGCCACGTGTGCGCATGTATGTTGCCTGCATGCACACATACACAGCAACATGCACATAGTTACACAGACACACTCTTTGCAAAAACAAAACCATAATTATTGACATCGAGAAAGTATAACCTCAATAAAAGTCCCTTCTCCCCCCTAAAAAGAAGAAAATGCTTAAAAATATTAGTATCATCCACATGAAATCCATATGTTTAGTTTGCTTTACAGTTGAGTTAAACTCAGTAACACTCTACACCTTTAACATCCTAAGTAATTGTGGAAGGGTTGTCTTCCTGGACATGAACCAATTCCAAATTCTGAAATGGAATAAAAAAAACAAAGGAAAAACAAAACTCCAGATAATTAAAGCATTCAAGAGATCTTTTCATTACATTCAAACCCGACTTTCAATCTCATTTCTTAGCCTGTACCCAGTTTCTGTATTGCCCATAGCTTTTCACCCTAGACTTCCATGCTTCTCTGAGTCTCAGTGGAAACATCCCAACAGAGCAAGAAGTGAAATCCATATACCTGGGCAGAGGAAAGGAATGGTCTTTTGCACCATTTTCTCACATATTTTGTTTGGTTTGCAAAGAGCAAACCCATTCTTTCTGGGTAATCTCAGTCTTCCTCATAGAGACATCTGATATTTGAGAAATGATTAAAGCTTTTCCCTTCAGTGGGAATTATGGATAAAGACGCTTTACAGATCAAATCCTCAGTTCACAATGAATGAAAAACCATAATGGTGCCGTGCAAATTCTGCCCCCGATTTCTCTAACCTGGTTTCTCTATTGGGATTTTTGGGATGACAGCATGCAGCTGCAGATTTTGACCTGAGGTTTACAGGTGGATTATTGAGTGCCCAAAACCTCCCTAAGGGACAGTTAATGTCATCGCATGTGAGGGAATTAATTGCATGTTACTGACACTGGAGAACATTCCTCAAAATTCAGGAATGAAAGAGGCCTGTGAAAAGCCCCACCTGAGAGGATCTGGCAAAATACAATTAATCAGTTAGTGCCTTACCCCAAACCACCCCTTCCTCATGCACGAGGGCCCTGTTCTCACCTGCAGCCTAAAGGTGCGTGGAGGGGCTCCTAAAACCTGGATGAGAGGGTCCTGAAGGTTGTTCCAGCTAAAGATCCCATCATGTTCTTATCAAATCCTTGCTGAAAAAGCAGATAAATAGGAACTGTATATATATGTATGAAGTAGGTGAAGTGCAGTGAGTACATATCAGTTTCAAAACTGGTAGCTGTCTATCTCTGTGTGAGCCTTCTGCCCCACTTCAACAGCTGTCCTTCACTTAAAGAGTGTGTTTCGTTCTCAGACAGCTTCAGGACAGCCTCTGCCCTCCCTCTGTGTGCCCTTAACACATCACCCTTATTGATGGACTTTCTTAATTCTAACTTTTCCCCAAAGAGGCTTCTTCAAAGTCTCTGACAGGTTCAAGTTGGATGAGGCTTGGAGCAACCTGAACTAGAAGAAGATGTCCCTGCCTGTGGCAGAAGATTGGAACTGGATGAGCTCTAAGATCCCTCCCAGTCCAAACCATTGTATGATTCTATGACTTCATCTTCCTCGTGCTGCTTTCTGCCCTTCAACAGTCAGACTTCTCCAGCTTTACTGGAGGAAACCTTTATTTAATCATTCACTGAACATTATTTCATCTTATTCCTCATCCTGGAAAAATGGCAAAGATTTATGCATGATTTATCCTTGCATACTCCCATCCTTCTCATCTGATGTATACCTATGCAATGAACATCTGTGTGAGCACAAGAGTGACTCAGTCACATTAAATTGAGTTGGCACAGGCTCCTGAGCACAGCCCTGCGCAAAGCTACCCAAGCTCCTATGAAGAAAGTCCCTAACCGTTAATATGAGAATCATACTTAGGTGCTCTCTACCTTCCTGCCCCCAGGGTGCTCCCCTTTGTGGATGCTGCTCCTTCTCTTTAATTTGGCCCTTTACTCTCTGCAGGTGCTGCTGCTGTGGAGTTGGAAAAGCCCAACTTGTTCAAAGACAGCCACGGCGAGCTGGGAGCTGGCTCATGGCCCCGTCTGGCTCTGAGCTTAAGCAGTTTCTGTTGCAGGGAGCAAAACAAACCCTAAATACTCCTCTTCTTGGTTGAAAAGATTACCCTGAGTGTAGGGGTGATGTAACCACAGGGTAGGGTTATGAACACAGAAGAAAACGGGGGGAAAAGGAGGAGGAACCTTGCCAGGGATCTGTTTGGACATGCTGATCCTACACAACGGGCTGCAGCGAAGGGAGTCTCCCAGGCTAGAGCAGAACGTCCAGGTCTGTTCTCAGCACAAAGCAATGCTGTGCACACACAACAGCATCGGGGCCAGGAGCAAGGTGTCCTCAACATATAAGGGACATGGAACTGTTGGAACAAGCCCAGAGGAGGCCACAAGGATGAGCAGGGGCTGGAGCACCTCCTGTGTGGAGCCAGGCTGAGAAAGTTGGGGCTGTTCAGCCTGGAGAAGAGAAGCTGCGTGGAGACCTCAGAGCAGCTTCCAGTGTCTGAAGGGGGCTATAGGGATGCTGGGGAGGGACTCTTCATTAGGGACTGTAGTGACAGGACAAGAGGTAATGGGTTCAAACTGAAACAGGGGAAGTTTAGACTGGATCTAAGGAAGAAGTTCTTTCCTGTGAGGGTGGTGAGGCACTGGAATGGGTTGCCCAGGGAAGCTGTGAATGCTCCATCCCTGGCAGTGTTCAAGGCCAGGCTGGACAGAGCCTTGGGTGAGATGGTTTAGTGTGAGGTGTCCCTGCCTGTGGCAGGGGATTGGAACTAAATGATCTTAAGGTCCTTTCCAACCCAAACTATTTCATGATTCTATGACTCTAAGGTGGCTCTTTCATGGAAGAGCCCACCTAAACTAGCATCATCCTCAGGGTACAAGCCACCCAACACAACACACCACTGTCCACTTGGTCCCTAATGTCAGTCCCAGCAGCGGCGGTTGTGATTTGCTGCCTCTTGTTCAGATCTGAGGTGGGTTCCCATGTGCCAAGAGCACCGTGGTCCTCCCAGTGCCCTGGGCTCCTCCAGCCACTGCCCAGGCTCGCTGCTGAATCATGGCCTTTGACTGCAGCGAGTCAAGACCTGGGTTGTTCTTGTCGGCCGAGAAGCAGAAGCATTCTCCTTACCTGCTTGAGCACGCTCTGGAGCTCCCTGTTTGACCAAAGATCTGTCAGGAGGAGGCGAGCAGCTTCGGCTGCTTTTGGACAGGAGCTGGGAAGATGAAAGCAACCCTGGTGAATTCTGGCAGGCCACAGAACAGCAACCCACATGTGTTACTGACAGCCTTCAAATAAGGCCATCGCCGGCTGGGAGGCTGGCTAGACTTGATGGAGGCTGTCAGTAAAACCGTCCTTCCTCTCACAGCAATATTACCCGGCAACAATCTCTGGGACCAGAACAGGAGAAATGAAAAAGGGGAGGATTTGAGTGGAAAATTGAACATTAAACTGAGCTGGAGGAGTGTTTCAGGGGTGTGAAAGTTGGGAGAGTGAAAGAGAAGGGAAATGGTGCCAACCCTTCCCTGGAGTCTGTAGGGTCAGTTTGGGTGAACCCTTTGGGACAGCAGCAGAGGAACGGGCTCCATTGCTGCCTGGTGAGAATGAAGGAGATGGGAACATTTGTAACAACAACTCCTGCAACTGTAAGTCCTTACTCAGCACAAGTTAATAGATAATTGCTCGCGTAACAGCTCCGAAACCGTGAGTCATAGCAGCACCTTTTATGATTTTAGAACATTTCATACAACAACCCAGATATGAACCTCCTTGCTGGTTCCAATCACTGCTCCTCATCTCCTGGACCTCGTCCTGTCTGTGGGAGACTCCTGATTTGGGCTCAGTGCACCAGTCCCAGCCTGCGTCAGCCAGGGTGATGGAGAGCTATGAGGCCAGACTCAGGACCCTCCCTGTATGTTGCAGCTTCACAAAACATTGTGTCCTCAAAATAATCCTCATCAGACTATAAGAAATGGGACTGATGGTGCTCATCAGGAAACTGGACATGCCAAGAAATTCCTTGAAGAAGGATTTTTTCAGGATGTCCTAGGTTTACAAAATTGATTATCAAGGTGCAATCCTTGGAAGAAATGGGAAATAGGAAGTCTGGGGATGAGAAGAACTCTGTTCTCAAGAACTTGAGTTCTTGAAATGTGAATTTTGGTAAAATACTATGGTAGAATTAAGCTGCAACATTAAATTGCACAATAGAAAAGATGTGAAAAGTGAATGAACAAAGAGAAACTAAAACAAGTAAGTGATAAAGGGGCTGTGAGATGAACTTCAAATCTGATGCTCTAAAGCACAGGAAGAGCTTTTGGAGAAGAGCTTTTAGTGGAGCCAGTAGAATTATTGAGAAAAAGATGTGATTTTATTAGTGGAATAATGTTGCTTGAAAATGAGCAGAAGAAGAATATTTTTCAGCTTAGTTCGAGAAAAAGGATGAAAAAGCCATCAGACGTCCCACTAAAATCAGTAACAGCAGCTTGATTTTCAGAATCACCAACCAAAAAAAAAAGCAGCTAATATGCAATATTTTGGCTTAATTTTTGGATTTAAAGTAGCAAAGAGCAAGCAAAACCCATCTTCACTATGGAGGCAATGTCATCAACGTGGATATGTGCAGGAGGGAGACAATTATTTAATTGCGATCTCCAGGAAGGAGAAGAAACCACAGCTATCAGATAAAACTGCTGAACCCTTTGTGACTTTCACTCAGAATACAGCTACAAGAAGCATCAGGAAAAAGAAACTTCAGCTTGGAGGAGGGATGGTTGGCATTTGAGAAGAACACAAGAAGGGGAAAGCTCCGTAACTTGCTTGTTAGGTAACATGGAAGCTCTTTCTATATTATGAATACAAAACTGTCTGAGCATCTTAAACTGATGATTTACAGCTTCAAATGCAACAAGAGGAAACGTGCATTATGCAGATAAGCCACCACCAGTGCTGGAAGGTGAGGGAAGTGTGTCCATGGGTAAATTGAGGCAGAGTATTAGAAAAAACTCTGTAAAATACTAACAAGGTGCAACATGGTGGTGTTCTCCATGGTGATTTGGTCACCACTGAGACCTCCTTGGTTCTCTGTTTCTGCTGGCAGTGGTGCTGCGAAGGAGGAGGTTGATAGTGTTGACTTGCCACATTCATTGGTGGTATGTGGGGTCTGCATCCAACTTAGGCAAGAGCCCCCAGTAAAAGTGTTGGATCTAGTTATTACCACCAGGGACTGGGTGAGGCTGTTTCTGGTGCAGGATTGCACAAACCCCACCATAAAGTTTCTTCATTATCTTCACAGGTTACACAGGAAAGTGGGAGAAGTGAAGTAACTTGTGAACTACCAAGTGTCCAATTCACTGGTGGGGAGATCTCTTTCACATCTGATCTGTGGGAACAGTCTGAAATCATATGGCTTGAATAAGAAAGATTAGTCCTGGGTGTAAATTGTTGTCATTTCTCCATAAGAATTTAACAGCAGCAAAGACTTTGGGGACAGAAACGAGCAATGGGGCAACAGGAACAATTTGAGCTTGGGACATTGCGAGAACTGGGGAGTTTCTCAGAAGGAATCTGTGATACAGACAGGAGGAACACACTGAGAACATCTCCAGAGTTTAGTAACTCCTCGTAGTTTAGTGAGTCACTGCAAACAAAGCTCGTCACACAAAGCAGTCAAGACAATTAAGGTAAGCACAACCCCAGTTGTGCAACGCTTTGCTGAAGTAGTAAATTAGCTGACGACTGGTCTGAGGGATCCAAAGTGGGGCTTTAAGCAGAAGTAAATATCATTGAAAACAACGAAGACATCGGAGAGGGCTGGGTTTCATGTTACTTGGGCTTGTTGGAGAGTTGAAACTTATAAAAGCAGCAAACTGACCCATGTTCACTGGCTGAGGTCCAAACTAAACATAGAGGCCACTTTTAATGGCTGAGAATCTCACCCTGCCACGAAACAAGTGGTAGATTGCAAGTGGTTGATGGAGAAGGCATGCAAACGTCTTTTCACAACAGAAAACAATAGGTTATATGTAGAAGGTATTTTAAAACAAAGACAGATGGTAGGAGAGATGAAAGTCTAGGAAGCAGAACACATGGTCAAAGCTCATGTAAGTTTAACACTAGTTTGGCCAGAAATGAGCACGGAGCTTGGCAAGGGTTGACAAGCTTTTGCACAGGGCTGTAGGAGTGTGAACAACAAGCAGGATGGATTTACTACCATCAAAACTCAAACCAGTTGTTGCAAAATACATGTGTGTGGCCCACTGGAGGTACTTATGTATCATCACAGCTGCATCTTTGCCACTTGAGATGGACTTTGCAACAGAAAAAGTGTTAAGGTGAACAAATGTGAACATTGAAGCTAAGCACAACCCCACAGTGCTTCAGTCTCAGCCCTGACCTTCATAGTAGGGTTTGCAGGAAGATCTGAGTGGGAAGCCAGGATGCCAGGGACTCAGGCCATGTACTGACATCCTCTGTTCCGAGGGCTGGAAGTTTGAAAAGGCCTTAAGATGTTGGTGCTTCAGTTCTTTGTAGAATTTCTTAAAACAAGCAGCAAATCTCTTGAGGTCCCTTTACAAATCTCACCCTGGATGGCTCATGCCTGTTTCCAAGAAACTAACACTGAGGATTTCTGTGTACCAACATGCTTGAGTTTTCTTTGGCTCTTAATCTATGACCACAGAGTAAGAATAATACTTTGCTAAGGCTCTGAAGGGTGTTGGAAACGCTCTGGGGTTAATCTGGCTGTGCACAGAGCGTATGGACTCAAAAATGTCTTCACATGACCCTCTCCATGCCTTCTGCCCCAAACTCACCCATTTCGGCACAGGCTTACTACATTATTTAGCATGTTGCTTGTCAAGTAAGACTTCCCCAGGTGTGGGTTGGACATGATGAGGTTCCTCAGAGTGTAACATGCTGATGTCATGATCTCTCCATAGCTGTTGGTATTTCCAGACTGGAATGACAGGAGACGTGATACATCTGGGAGCACCTGGTGAGCTAAAGAGGTGGAATGTTCCAATCAACGTTTAAACAAAGCCTAGCACAAGTGAACGATGCTATTTGCATTAGCACTATTCAATGCAAGAGTGAAGTGCTATCTCTGGGAGGAGGCACTAATAATGTAATGGCATAATGGTCATCACTTGATTTTCAGACACAAAAAGAGTGCTGCAGGTCTCTGAAAGGGCAATGACACTGGTCATGGGTAGTCAAGACCAACTCAGTTCCCCAAACACTATCATGCTCATGATCCTGTAGATTTGCCATTGTCTATAAGGTATTCCACATGCTTGTAAAGACTGAGCTAGCACATATTTTGTTAATTAAGCCTGCAGGTATCTCCTGTAATTGTCCTTTTGGCCAGAAGAAATAACGCTGCTTTGCCCAATTTCACAGCTGGGTTAGATCCTGTTATGGCGTTTACAAAGCGAGATGGGCAGGTATTAAGAGTTGGAAACCAGACACTGTTCTGGAATCCACTGTGGTGGAAATGACTTACCCATGGTTTTGTGGAGAACAGGATGCCGGGACATGTTGCTCAGCAAAGAAGCCCCAGACCGGACAACTTCAGAGCTGTTGGACTGGAGGAGCCGTGCAATGCGAGGCAAACCTTTCTCCTTCAAACCAATCAACTGGCTCATTGCATTGGACATCTAGGAGACAGAACAGAGATATCTCGTGACTTCTGTGCCAGGAGGACACAACTGGAATGATGTACAGGGCCAGATAAATACGACTACATTGTAAAATAAGGATCTGTATAACTTTCGCTACCATAGTTCCCTTTAGTTTGTCATTTACCCCTCATCTCCACAGACATTTGCAAAGTCAGCCTCTCATCTGCGATACAACTGGTGCTTCTGTCCTCTTTCTGGGGCCTGAGTGAGTACAGTTGCTCATCCAACTGGTAACTCCCAAAAGCTGGGTAAGTTTTACCTTCATGACCATGTTGCCCTTGCCCTTCACAATGCCCTTGCATCTCCCTGCCATGCCCAAGTAATCGGCTGCAGTGGAATAGGCACAGCTAATGAATACCTTTAAAAAAAGTCTGAAGACCAAAAATACTCATCTTGGACCCTGATCTCATGTTTGCTTATGTAAATCTAGACGATCTCAGGATGTAGCCAATGCAGATGAGTGTTCATGGATGTTGAAGTCACATACCCTTAATAAACTGCCCTTTTGATAGACTTTAAATGGAACTCAACTACTACCCCACCAGAGAGGCTGCTGGAGATTGTTGCACAACCAGCAACACATCAACAGTGACGTGGAAATAGAGGGAATGGGCTGGAAGGCAATCCCCTTCCAGTGGGCTGAGACCCATGCTCCAGGAGGCACATGCTTCAGTTTTCCTTTCCTTCAAATGACAGCAAATCCAGCAACACAACCCTACTACAGCTCCGAGCTGGAATAAGCCCCTTGAAAGAAGAAGCCAATTCAGCACATCCAGGCAAATTCCAGGCACTCTGTTCCAGAAGGATGAAATAAATTGCTTCAACACTGCCAGAGCTGGTTTTTCTGTGTTTGTTTCCTTCCCCCCTGTCCAAAAGCCATTCTTGTGTAATGATGTTGATTGCCACGGAGCACATAGCTCCGGTCCCATTCCTCCGTTCAGCTCTACCCATACAGTGACAGCCTCTGTCCACCTTGTTGTAAGCAGCACTGCTTAGTTAAACTGCAAACACAAAAAGTTCCCAAAGTATTTCACATTGGAAGACTTGGAACAAAAGCTCCCAAAGGGCTGAGAGCTGGCAAGTTAATGCTGTCCTAGCATTAGGAAGGCTCCATTCATGAGTCACTCCGTGTTTCTGGGTGGAACGCTTCGCACATGTGACACGCCTCCCCTACGTATGAAGCTATTATCTCTTTATCTCCCCAACCATCTTATTTAAATTGGAATTGATGAAGTTTGACACAAACAGACAAGTTGAGGTTTGTCCACGTGAACTCAGCTTGCAAGGACGTGCCCACGGTAACGACATTGGCCACAGCAGAGCTGCTGTCGTGATGTGTGCCTTGCCGTGCCCTAGCTCCTGCAATACCCACGGTGTCACACAGTCCGTGTCACCTCCACGCTGCCATACCTACAGGTTAGGACACCTGTCAGAGCTATTTTACAAGCAGCTATGATGTGAGGACGAGCCACAATCCAGAGCGCAACCCACCCTGTTATTAGAGCCACCTCCCACTTAGAAAACACACACAGGCTGTGGCACACACACATCCTCTCTCACCCCTTTAATGACATCTGTCCACATGTGCACATCTGGGCACATACTCACTCATGTCCTGCGGGGGGTGGCCATACCAGTAGATGCTGGTAGTTATGACCAACAGACTGGGGAAACCTGGAAACCCAGTGTATGGCTCTGGGATAGAGCCTTAGGATGCTGATGATAGCCCCTCATGAGACCCTGCGTTTGGCGTTAATAAATAGTTTGCTGGAGCATCCACGGTGCAAAGACTTGCAGTAGTGCCCTGAGGTTTAAGGAGGACATTTTCCTTTCTGATTACTGTAAAGTGCTGACACATTTGGCTGAGTGCATGTGGAGGAGAGAGGAGCCCTTACCAGCCCTCGGCTTGCAGTGAGGTTCTGCAGAGCTCCAGCACAAGCTTCCAGGGTGGCATCCTTCTTGCTCTGATCCATCAGGGACAGGTAGGTGCGGATGGCATCAGAGTGGTAGAGCCAGCTGGGTCCTTTGGGTTTAAAATCCTCCTCAGGAAGGGGGACACCATACTCATCATTCTACAGAGACGAGAAAGTGGGAGCTCAGATCTTGCTCTTTGCTCACAGCCCCTGCCCAAGTTTGAATATCACATTTCCAAGCCTCCTGTGGCACATCTTACCTCCATTTTACCACTCCTGCTGTTGAAACAGCCTGTGAGAGTTTTGTCCATGTAAACGCTCCGGGCCATGTGGTTGAGCTGGGTGTATTTGTTGGGAACTTCAGCATCCAGGCGGTAGGAGAGGTTGTGCAGGATGCAGATGCAATTCTCCACAGACTGAAATCCCCCCCAGAATAAAAATCAAAGCATCACATTAGGCAGAAAAACATGGAGCAGCACCTGCTATAGCTGCAGAGAGAACATACACTGTGCCGTAACCAGCTTTTTTATAGCAGTTATGCTATGTAAGCTCCTGACCCTGCTTAAGGTAGCAATGATGGGAGGGAAGGGGGTAGACATGAATGAAGGCTACATAGCCCAGATGCTATACTGTGAGCTGACTGACTCTGAACCTTGTTAGGTCCCACTGTAACGGACAAGCTGATAAACAGGAAAAGAGAGCAGAGGGTGGTTGTATCAAAGTGCCCATCATGAAATGCCAAATCTCGAAAGTCTTCCTCTTGCCAAGTCAACTTTTAATGACTTTATCCAAGCAACAGCTTCAGATCTGGGGACACTTTCTATTAAGAAGGGGCTTTTAAGCCTCTGTTACCTATAAGTCAGAGTTCCCAGTGTAAAGAGTAAGGGAGAATTTCCACTAGACACCTATAACCAGCATCAAAAACTGCTTACATTTCCAGAGAGCTGTGTTCAGTATGTGCTGCTGAAATCGATCTTCTTGCAAAAGCCATCCCCAAAAGATGATTTGCTTAATCCTGAGCTCATCTGAAGTAATTTTGGTGCTTACTGGGCACTGAGGACTTTAGGGTATCTGTTTAGTATCACAGATGTCAAGCTCCTAAAAATATGGCTATAAATGCTATTTTATCCAAGGTAAGGCCATTTACACACAGCAACCAGTCACAGTTAGGGGACTGGCAGGGAAATGCCAGCTCTTGGCTTCTTGCTGAATGCAGTGCCAATCTGGGACTTACAATGTTGAGTGCTGGTGGATGAAGTGATGTAGCAGTGGGAAGAGCGATAGATGGTGGATAACATGCTGGAAGGATTCCAGGGTGGGAGTGAAAGGATGGAAAACATATTGGGGGGTCAGGAGCCAAAATACTTTGCTGTTTCTCTGTTTGTTAAAGGGAAATTGTAAACCCACCTCTATTTCAAGCCTAGAGCACAGAAGACCGCAATCCTACAACAGTCTGCACTGGGATTTGGAAGGACAAGAGCAGCCACAAAGGGTCCAGTCCCCTCTTGTGCTTGTTTCAAAGAGATCTTGAGGTATTCCTGAAGTTGCAGTGATTAACTATGGGGCTGAATGCTAGCAAAGAGCTTGGGGTGAGCATCTGGTACCTTGTCATCGGGTCGGTTGGAAGCCACGCAGTTCTGGGCATAAGTCATGACTGAATCGATCAAGCCAGGGTAATTCCTCATGGTCTGGCGCCCCATGTCTGCAGAACTCAGGTTTCTGAAGGAAGCCATCGCAGAGCATGCCAGGGAAGAAGGAGGAGAGAGGATTAGTTGCGTTCGCTTACCATTCTCTATGGGCTCTGTTCTGGCTATGGGTATCATTGAATTTAAGGATGTTTCTGTAGATTCAGCAAGGCTGGTGTACTGCTGTCAGTGTGGAGACCCTCTGCAGGACTGCAGTGGTGCACAGCCCTCTTGGTGCTCTTTAGGATTGATTTCATGTAGGAAAGTGTCCCTTTAAGATGCTCTGCATAGAAAACATCCTCCTAGTGAGAGTAACTATCAGCAGTATTTTGCCTTAGAGGCTATGCATGTGACATTACACAGACTCATCACCTCCTTGGAGGTGTTTCCAAAGAGAAGACTGAATAAGGACCGGCTGAGACGATTGTGGAAATCAGAAAGGTGAATCTGGTTGCAAGTATGGAGCTACGAAGGGTCAACGGCAATATTGGTGTGGGAAACAGGGGGCAGAGAGGCTGAAGAGCAGCAATCACTCTGACCAAAGGGACTGACCAGTTTGTAATGGTGTAATGTATTCCTGAGCACTGGTTGCTGCCAGGACAGGGGAGCTTTTCCAGTAACAGGAAATGTTTTTTGTTGCTTTGTTGGTTTTTTTTTTCTCTTCCCTGTTTTATTGCTTTGTAGCTTGCAAATGAAAAACAAAGAGAGGTTGGCAGTCCTTGTGAGATATTCACTCCAGGCATTCCAGAACTGGATTTGGTGTTCACTGTGATTTGCAGCCTCCTCATTAACATGAATTCATCTGCAATCCAGAAATGCTTGAGCAGCAATGGCTGGAGCCCAGGGCAAACACAAGGCTGTTCTCATCTCTGTGTTATGATGTGGCAGGGCAGTGAGTCAGAGCAATCCTGGCTCACCCCTCAGAGCAGGGGCTCTGGACACAACCACTCTGCTTTCCTTGCTCACCTTGCTCCCCAGTCCTGCTCCCCCCAGCCTCTTTTGCTCCCTGGATGACCTGCATCTGGCAGGCTTCGCTCGGGGTGTTGGATTTTACTGCCACAGTCAGGAGACAGAGCCCACCTTGAGCCAAACTCCATGGAGAGCTCATTTTACAAGCCACCACCCTACCCTTTCCCTCATTTTAATGGGGTATTTTATGGCATTGGTGGGTTGAGATGGTCTTAAAAGTGGAGCACCTCACATGAACATCCACCACACACCCCAACATTCCCTGCATGGGGAAGGTGCCTTCCGAGACGGGGAAGGGAGCAGCACTCTCTATCTTTCAGACACGGTTCCCAGCCACAGAAGACGATAGTATCACGTCTCAAAAGGCCCCCACTGCATTCACCCACTTCGTTTCATAAGCAGATACAGCTCCTACTAGCTGCATGTCTGGTAAGGGTGTGGTTGGTGCTGCACTCCCTCGGGGAGAGCTTCAGTTGATGAAAGTACCTAATTATACAGGGCATTTTTTTTCCTTTCCCACTTGTTCCCAACGAGACGAGGATCTCGCATCCAAGTGGAGGAGGGTGGTGGGAGAAACAGCAAGTCAGGGCGAAGAGCCTCTGCGAAAGGGATCTGGCTTTCCCGTGAACAAAATAAACTACTCAGGGCTCAGTCTGCACCTCCTCTGGCCAGGCTGATGATACGAGCCAGAAAAAGGCCAGGGCAATGGGGTTGCTCTGGGTTTAACCAGTTATTAAAGGCAGTAGGGGAATGTTTTCTGTCTAATAATGCTAGGAAATACGAGGAAAAACGTTTTACATTTGTCTGCACCTTCTCTTAGTCAGGAAAGCTTTCTCAAAGGAGAGATTTGTATTAAAGCAATTGGAGCGAGCATGTATTTAGCTTATTGTAAGGTGATTTAGACAGCTTCAGCATTTCTCAACATACACAAGCTGCAGTAAATCTCTGCGTGATGACTCACCTCAAACACCCTGTAGCATTGAAGAATACTTCTGGGTCAATAATTTCTCTTGTCCTATTGCAGGTGCCATCAGACCAGCCAGAGAAAGGGATGATAACGCAGTCTGTCAAGACGGGGAGGGCCTCCTGTATCAACTCTTCTTTTAACTCATCAGTGGAGGAGAGGTTCCAGAGCAGTCCTAGGAAGGAGGCAGAAGACAAGCTCAAGCAGAGGGTCACCATGCATTAGAAACTTCCTTTAGGCCAGAGTGAATTCCAGCTACAAAGTCCTTCTTCTTTTCACCCCTCTTTGAACTAAGAGTGCAGAGGCTGCCCTAAATCCTAGGCTCTGTCCATCCTTATTGGAGACAGGCAGGACAGGCACCAGCAGCAGTGTTTGGGGTGGAGGTGGGCATCTAAGCATCCTCCCTCCTCCCATAATCGCTGTTTATGGCCATTGGGTTGCAGGGGGGAAGGCATCACCCCAGTGATCTCATGAAGGCTTACACACAAGACCTCAGTCACAGTTGAGGGTGACCTGCACCAACAAACCCATGTCATGGAGCCATTGAGTCATGGAATCAACCAGGTTGGAAAAGACCTTCAAGATCATCATTCCCCAGCACTGCCATGTCAATCCTTCGAGAAAAATGAGATTCCAGTGAGATAACCTGCCCAACCATGTTGGGATTGCCAACACTGCTGGCCTTCCCTGGCAGCATCACGGAGGCCAGGGGTGCAGAAAGGCATGGGAATGGCAGGATGATCATAGCTGTGGGGGGAAACCTGGGCCAGGTGTTTTTCCGGTGGACATGAATGGTGTGAGGAACCCTGACGGGACATTGAAAAGCCAAGACCATCACTGCCTTCTGTTTTAGACTGCCATTTGGTGTGATAGGAACATAAACCATCCACTTTGTGCTATGGCAGCACCATGGCTACTGGGCCTTTGCGTGCTGGAGCACCACGGACCACAGGCAGGGAGGAGCATGGTCCTTGCAGAGGGCTGAGCAGTTTGCTGTGTACCTGTCAGCTGCTTCTGAATCTCAGTGTTCCCTGTCCTCCGCAGGAGGCTCACGCACTCCCTTATCCCATTCTGCCGCCGGGTTTCTATCTTGTTGGTTGGATTCTTGAAGACCAAGTTCCGGAGGGCTCCGGCTGCTGCCCGCTGTACGTTCTGGTTTGTGCTGCGGAGCAGCTCCACAAGCTTGGCAATTCCCCCCAGCCGATAGACCTGCACCAGGAGAGACATGCTGCCATCAGCACAGGGTGCGGAGCATCACCGGGACAGGGAACTGTCATGGCAATGCAAGCAGTCAACATGGCACAGAAGGAGGGAAGCTGGAAAAGCAGACCTGGCAGGAAAGGATGGCTAGAACTCACAGATGGCATATCTGGTTCAGGCCATAGGTCATGAACACAAAGGTGCTGGCCTTGAGGTTGGAGCTGAAACTCTAGAAGTAGATGTCTATGAGTAATGGCCATGGACTGAACCCTTTGCTGATGAAAGGTGCTGGCTCCCACAAACTTTCTCCTACCTCTGTCAGTTTGCATCAGGTGGAACTGTTGCTCTGGCTATCTGTAGAGGCCATTTATAGCAATATAATAACATGATGTGGTAATTTATCTGCATCCTGAAATCACAGGCTGAGCTTAGAGAGACGGCCATGGTACAGCGTAAACACCCTCCAGGTCAGCCAGAAGCAGTGCTGGGCCATGCCACAGCACTCAGCAGGGGCAGCACTGGAAAGGGGTGTGAACCCCGACCTGCAGGACACCCCACAGATGCCAGGGAGGTTTTGAAGGCAAATCCTCACTGGAATGATGAGCGTTCCCACTCTGGGAACACGATCCCACATGGAGCCCCTCCTGGTACAAACCAACCCATGGGCTGGAGACCTTGCTGACAACAGGACACGAACGAGCACCCTTTAGACAGGGCAGCAAACAAGCGTGCTCCGGGGTGACTCACACGCCTGCTCTGACACATCCTTCTGGGAAGCAATGGGACAGGCCAGTGCTCAGAGAGTGTTTTCAACAGCAACAAAGGGTGCGGCTGCCCCACCATTCCCTGCTGTGATGTGGGCTGGGGTACCCGCACCCGTTGGGGACAAACGGGTACATTCCCATCCTCTGCCAGCATGTCCCGCTCCACTGCTGTGCCAGGAAATGGAAAACCACCTCAATAGGGATGGAATCTTGATGAACCCGTGTCTGTATGACTGCAAACACGCTAGGGCGGGATAAACTTGTGTGACAGTCGTGCCACAGCAGATCCGTCCTTGAGGTTGCCTCCTTTGCTGCATGTTGGCGCAAATGTAGTAATGGGAGAGTAAGAGCATAAGAAAAATAAGCTTCACTATAAGAAGTGCTTCTGTTTGATCAAATATCCTTGTCCAAGATCTCTAATCTGGCCATTGGCTTACATGGCAAAAATGGCTGAAAATAGCTGAAATGGCTGAAAATGACTGAAATATCACTGAACAATGCACAATGAGCATCACAGTGGGGTTTAGAGCAATCCTGTATGTCTGACGCTGCATCTGTGAGATTCATGTGAAACTGGGTGCAAGTGCAGCCAGAAGAGGACACTGCATCTGGATGGCTGCCTCCATATCACCAAAACCCATCAATCTGTGTCACAGCAGCTCACGGGGACAATGTGGACACAGCCTCCTCTGCTGCCTCGTAACTATTCCCCTGTGTTAAAATCCTCACTGACTCCTACTAAGAGAAAGTGGCCACTAATAATTGAAAATCTACTTAATTAATTCCTGAGTGTGACTAATGAGGTGTAAGTCTCCCTCATTAAAACCAAGGGGACCTATGGATCCTTGGTACTGAGGAAAACAGTTTCATCCATCTCATGTGCCACCACATCCAGTGTGACAGCAGAGCTCTGAAGGAGTGTGCTCACCTCTTGCTTGGCAGACTCCTCCTGGAAGCAGGTGTGCTGGAGGTAGTAAGCACCCATAGCCTGGTATTTGTCATCAGAGGAGCACAGGAGTTGTATGGCTTTCTGGATGGTCATTGTACCGCCGTCTATCTCATCACCACATATTCTGTGTTAAAGAGAAGTACAGCATTGGTTGAGTGCTCAGCCAAAGGGCTACGTCATTACTGGGAATTATGAGGAAGGAATCAGTTACAAAATGTAAAATATTATCATATCCACATGGTGCACCCCGAGTGCATTTCTCTATCTCAAAAAAAAGAGATGATAACAGTGGAAAATACCAAGTGGAGGACACTAAGGACAATAAATTATAGATCCAGTCTGTCCAGAAACAAAGGAGACAGAAAATAAGAACTCAGTTGAAGTGCTAGATGTCTATTCATTCTGCAGTGGAAGGTTTCACGAACAGAGAACCAGTATACACTCTTCACCAAATAAAGAATTCGTGGACAAGAGTGAAGCCAACCATCAGGTTGTTAGGACAATCTGAAGTAGACAGATGCTGAAAGAAAAGGCGACAGGCATGTCTGGGGTGATGGGATGGACAAATACTGAGTGCAGGAAATACTAATAACAGCACTGAGACTTCCTGCTCCCAGGGTATCTTTATATTGGTAGTCTCCAGCCCTTCATAGAAGTTGGCCACAATCATCACCCCGTGTTATAGGTAAAGAATGCGCCTACAGACTCCAGGGGAAGGGTATTCATACCTCCCGGATGGAGCAGGACTTGGATAAAACACAAACACCAGTGGCGGGATACAAACGGGAAGTGCTTTGTTAGCAGTGCATGAAATCAAGTGTGGGGGCTTTGCTAGGACAACTAGGTCATTGTTGTGCCTGTCTGATGTTATTCCTTTTCAGAATCCAGCTGTGATTGATGGGGAATTTACCTGGAGATCAGGAAGATCAGTTCCTTTTTGAACCATGTCAATGTGTATACAAGCTTTTGCTCCATGTCATACTAGTGAGTGACTATGTAGAGTGGCTGAACATCATCAGACAGTCCAATAGACTAACAAAACAGAGTGGTTTTTGTTAAGTTCTTTAAATGAACTTACTATATTTGCAGTATTAAATATTACTGTGAGGGAATGGCTTCTTCTAGGCACAGAATGTGCAGACACGTTCTGATTGTGCCAAAGAAATGTTAATAAAGGTATAGAGAGGACACCCATGTGTGGTCACCAGCACCAGCAGCTTACAATAAGGTATTTTGTCCTTAAGCACCCAAAGGTTCATCTCCTTTCACAGCTCCTATTCACAGCACAGAGTAATACCCACAATCCGATCGGAAATCCATAACAAACACATCAAAAGCCAACAACTGCTGTGACACTGCAAGAGAACCTTTTGTCTCCCCTACCCTCACTGGTAGAAAGTTGCATTCAGTTTGAATTACTTATTTAAGCACCTGTGTAGTTAATGGAGAGACATAGGTGCGTCCAAAGAACAGCCTGCCCTGTGTCTTGGGCATTTTTCCTAAGACAGGAAGACCTGCCCACTGAAGATACCTCTGCCACTGCTGCTATATGGGAATGACAGACCACAGCCTGGGACTGGACCTTAATCATTGTCTAATGTTAGCTGAACCTCGTTCCACTTCTGTTTCTATATGAACAATAAAACATCAGTTCATCATATGATTTTCCAAGTTTGTAACTTTATCAAAACTCCAGGAAACTTCCATTGTACTTGCAGCATGGGAGCACAAAACTGGAAAGACAAAGCTTAAACTAGAAACTAGAGAATCTCAGAAATCTTTGGTTTGGATCCAGGATGCTGTGATTTTTCACCTAGTCTTTTTCATGCTCCTGAGACACACAACAGTGCAATGGAACCAGCATACGGAGCACCAGAGGGACCTCTTTTCTTTATAATTTATCCAGTTGAGAAAAACCCCTCTATGAGGTGAACTTTTTATGGGGAAGGACATCCGTTATTGGTCCAGCTACTCAAGGAAGGCAATTTCCTACACATCCACTACATAAGAGGGCAAAATCCTCCTTCAGCATGGAAAAAGGACACATCCGGGTCCAATTCTGCGTGGGAAAAGATGGGGAAGGTTCCATTTCCCCTGCTGGCTCACCAACAGAAGTTCACAGAGGGTGGGAGGTGGGCTCAGTCATGCTGCCTCAGTTTCTCCTACTGAGAACATAATCACCATGGCAAAGCCCGTGCTAAGGGGAGATCGTTCATCAACCGGTCACGGATATTCCCAACCAGATCTACACTATGAGCACAACAGCCTGCTCCAAGACAAATTCTTGGACTGTGGCCATCTCCAACCTGGGCCCATGTGCCTTGTAGGAAGAGCTCCAAAGGTTGTTCTTCTTCCACAAGAAAGAAGCAATCAGAACAGGGAGACACCTCAATTAGAAATGATTCAACAGGAGACAAATTGGATGATTAGATTCAGGCGTGGAAGGGAAACAAACACTTCAGAGGATCAGTATCACAGAAAGGCAAATTCCCTGATTTGATACTAAAGCCTTTTGTTCACCTTTTATTAGCAGATTGGTTTGTGCTAACCAGATCTAAGCCTCCATCCTGGTTGTTGGGGCTACAAGTCCCAGGAGAGGAGGAAGCCAGAAAATGCTAACAAATTCCATTGTTCATTAACAAAATCAGTATGAAGACACTCAGAGGGTCCAGCGCATCCCAGACTTCCATAGTCAGGCCACACTGGAGCAAACCCAGTAGCCATGCTCCATGCCAAGCAGCCACATCCACCTCTGGGACATGGTACCAAGGTTATGATGCCACTGCAATCTCAACTGGAGCTTCCCCTCAGGCTTTGCTTAGTGCAGAGATAGCAGGGAAATTGGGCACACACTGAACCAGGGAGGAGGGGATCCTCTCTATGTGCAATGATATAAACCCTGCCAGGGCAGCATCACTCACAGCTCCACAGCAATTGCTCAATACACAGAGAACACCAAAGGGAAATGCATCCACATCTTAAAATAAGGCCAAAGGTGCATGTGGTATTATGGGAGACAACACACAGTGTAGGTGTCCATTAGTGGCTCCTGATCAGTATCACCAACTGGGGAATGTCTGCAAGCATCCCAGCTCACCTCTTCATCTTCACAAATAAGAATACTCTGAATCCTTCACAAGAGATGAGATTAGTGTGGCCTCTCTGCAATGTCTCCAGCTCAGACATCTGGCTTTCCCCTGGAGTTAACCAAGGGGCACTGACATTGCCACTGCAGAAAGCTGCACTGTGGCAAAAAGTGAGTGCTGCTCATTGAGAACTGCCTTTGGGCAGGAGCCACCAGAATAGCCCATGAACTTCTGAGCCCAGAACAGATGCATTGAGCTTGGAAATGTTGCTCCAGATATGACATAATGCTTACAAAGGTTTAATCCCCTGAGCAGTTAGTGAGAAGTATGTCTGGAAGGGACATCAGAAATTCCCTCTTCTGCTCACTGGGGCAGGATCATAATGATGGGGTGGTGGAAGAGAATATACTTCAGGAGGAGGTTTCTCAAAGCAAGTCAGTACTGTTTAACCTCCTGATCTGAGCAAACAGTGCAAAACAGACTTCATCACCAGAACCAATACTATGGGATGAGTAAAACCCTACATCATGGTTTAGTTTGTCATAGAATCATTGAATGGTTTCTCCCTAAAAACATTCAGGTGAACTACTCATCAGCTAGCTGGAGGAAAGGTGCTTTTGGCAGCTAGAGTGGCTTCTGTAAGAGGAAGAACTCTTCTGAGAGACAGTTATCAAAATGACAGCTCTTCCATGCCTGCCACAGCCAAAGCCAGTGCAATAAATGGAAGCAATCACATAAGCAAGAGTAGTTCCAGAAATCAAATATCTTTGTGACCGATCTACAAATAACTGAACTATCTGCTCAGTGCAGAGAGTTTGGCAGTGCTTGCATGCTCAGTATTTTGATGCCTACACCCCACTCTCATGACCTGGGAATGAGCGTCCAATGGCCCCTTTTTCACATCATCCAAAGGGGTCAGATCTGTAGCACAGGACACTTGAGGTGCATCAGTCTTGAACCAGCACTGACACTGTCCATAGTCACTGCATTACAGAGGAGTTCTGCATCACAGACAGCCCCAGTGGATCGCATGTCCCACTGCAATCACTCTCACAGCAATGGAAATCACCCCACTGGATCCCTGTGGAAACTATCTATCCCTTCCTTGTGCTCACAGTTTGCTAACCTGCAGACAAGATACCCACCTACACAGGAGATTTGCAGTGTGAAAACTGAACACAAAATTATCCTTGTTATAAAGGCAAAACCTCTACCCAAAGAACTGCTAGAATAGGAAGAACAGAGCCCCAAACAGGGAACTACCAGCAGCTATTACCCAAGTAAGCCCTCTTCCTGCATGCAGAGGTTAATAATGGGATGCCTACAAGCAACCCTCTCCCTGCCCACAGATCAACCTACCCAAATGAAGATCAAGCTCTCCAAGTGCAGAATCCTCCAACCAGAAACAGTCCTACACAGCAAAAAGAGCCCAGACATGGTCCTAACCCATCCCTGGAGGCCCCTTCCCCATAAAAAGCACTCTACAGACCAAGGCTAACAGCGACCTGCCAGACACCCTATTACAAGGGCTAATGGCCTTCCAAATAAGTACTGTTTTCAAACAGGACAGCTCCTTAGTATGTTTACAAAACTCGTGCCAACCTCGTCCCCTTCGAGTCAAGAGCAAGAAGCGCTTGTACAAGCCCCCTCCAATGAATGCAGCTCTGGGGGAGCAGGGGATGTGCACCAGCCAAATCAGATTTACTCAGGGGACACAGCCCCAGCTGAGCCTACCAGCGACGTGAAGCCCGACATTTCCACATCAGAACCAGTTCTGCCAGATGAGCCATGCCCCGAGCCAGAAGTGTATAAATGGAGCCACTCCCTAACCGAAGGGCAGCCGGCACTGGAGAGCGTTCCTCTCACAACAGCAGTTCTTCTCTTCAGAAAATGCCATTATTCTTCAAGTGTCCTTTCCAAAGCGATGGCCAAGTCTATAACCAAGAGCACTGCGCAGTGCAGGGCTTGCTTTGGACAGAGCCTAACTTCTGAAGAGCAGCATTTTCCCTGGGCAGAAGGGAAGTTTAATCATTTTGCCATCCCTCCCACCACTCTTTTAGTCAGAAATTCCCTCGAACAAGTTACTTCCAGTGTCTGTAACATCTGTTTCCTGCTCCAGAAGGATTACAAAGCTTCTGAAAGGAGCAAACCAACGCCACCGGTGCTCTGAGTGGGCCTGGGTTAATTTTGCATGTGTTAAACATGGAGTAACCGGGCACATGGGAAGCTAAGGTTTCATGGCAACAATGCTAATGGGTGAGTCACATTTCTTAGCATACACGCTCTGGACATCTACTCAATACAGAAAGAGGGAGGCTGAGCAGAGAATGAGCAGAGAAATCTGGAAATCAACATTTCCGTGTGATAAAGGGTATGACTTGGCTCACAGCAATGACTCTGAGGCAGGATTTTCTCTGTAGCTACATCATGCCTTGGGCCAATGGCTCAACAGTCTCAGGCTTTTAGTGTGAGTTAGGACAAAGCCTATGGACCCAGCTAATTGGCCTCACTGTTGTACTGCAGTGTGTAAGCTCTCTTTTGGACTAGGGACTACTGGGAATGAGCTCTGGAGCTTCTAGGGTTTGTGTGACAAGCTGCCATGTCTGGCTGGGATTGTGATAACCTCTGCATTGGTGCAGAGCAGGCCCGGTGTGACAGTGATGCAGCAACAGCAGTGCACTTCAAGCCACACAAACCAGAGTCCTCCAAGACTGCAGCTGTGCAGACCAAAGCTCTTCACAGATGGAGGCAGAATACAGTTGGTGTTCCAGTGCCGGCCGGAGGCAGCGTTGCTACCAGCATCAGGGCAGCTTTGAATCAACACCACTGCAATGCCATCAAAACCCCACCAGGTCTCTTTGTCATGAGGGTTCTGCTGCACAGATACATCAGCTTGGGGCTGTCTGAGCTCACTCGTGTGTTTTACATGCCCTGCTGTTGTAGGCAGCTTTTACAAGAAGGGACCTGATGCTGGGACATGAAGGACCATCCTCCACCCTTGCACCGTTCCTAACCCCAGTGGGACCGGATGCTTTGGACAGGAAGGAACTGAACAGCTTCCATTCCCTTCTCTTTCCTGGATAGGTAAATTATTCCAATTGGGGGTTTTATTTCAATTTCTGACCCAATTATTTTCTGGAAGCCAAATCAGACCTTTTGATAGAATCAAGGGCTGGGTGGAAAGAGAGGAGTAAATACAACTACTCAGCATGTTCCCAGCTCTGCTCTGAGTCAGACCCTCAGGAACCAACTCCTTCAAAGCAAGCTGATATTTTTAGGTTGGTTTTCTGCCAAATCAAAGCAGTGTGACAGCAGGAGAGGCACCTCAACTGCACACAAAGCTTCCTCCTCTTCACCTCCCCACCCTCAGCTTGCAAAGGAGCTGTCAGCTAATGCCATCACAGAGACTGGGGGATCATCTTGCCCAGCATCACACAGATAGATACACTGAGCCATATTGGTTTCCCTCCATAGCCCATGAAAAGGAATGAGCCCTTTAAGACCGTGACTCATCTGACCCACTTCAGACTCTACTGCAGGATGTGATTAAGCACGGTGTGCACTGGTGAGCAGATCTCCAGTGCCTATACAAGTAGCTCAGATGACTAGCTCGGGTGGGCAGAGCTCCACAGCAGATGCCTACATGCACTCAGACTCATCCCGTCGCAGCAGACTTACTTGGAGCCGGACTGAGCCTGTCCATAAACCATGTCCTGCTTGCAGCTCATCATGGGTTGGGCATAGACCACGTCGGGTTTGTTGCTTGAGGGGCAGGAGAGGGCTCGTGCTGGCATTTTTTTACTTGTCCTGGTAGTTCCTTGCTGGGTGCTGCAGCTGCTGTAGATGCTCTGGCGGTTCAAGGTTGCCTTGTGCTCTGCCCGGCCCCCGACCTGGCTCTTCCTCAGCGTGCCCCGGGGTGGTTCGCAGTAGAGGTCGGGCTCGCTACGGCTGCTCTTGATGTTGGGCACAAAGCAGTAGTCGCTGCCGGCCCTGGCGGGGCTGCAGACAGCCTTGCTGTAGTGCTTGCCCCCCCAGCCCTCCATCTGGCTGTACGAGCTGTAGCGCCTGTTCTCCACGTCCCGCTTCAGCGTCCCGTTGTACAGCTGGACAGTGGGAAAAGAGAGGACAGAGAAATTAGGCAAGGACGGAGCTGCAGGTTGACACGGACAAGCCCGCTCCTGTGTGAGCATCACCAGATTCCCCCGCCTCAGGTCTGTTTGTGGCCCAAAATTGACAAGAGGTAAATTTACAGGCGAACGCTTGCAGAGGTGCCAAACTCTCCCTTGAAATGTGGGGATACTGAGTGATCAGGAAATGGCATCCAGCAGCTTTAAAACAGAATTGAAAGCTCAAGCATGACCCTGGCAATAAACAAAATGCCTTATTTTATAGAATCATAGGATCATGGACTGGTTTGTGGTGGAAGAGACCTCAAAACTCATCCAGCTCCAACCCCTGCCACGGGCAGGGACCCCTTCCATAGAGCAGCTTGCTCCAAGCCCCTGTGTCCAACCTGGCCTTGAACACTGCCAGGGATGGGGCAGCCACAGCTTCTCTGGGCACCCTGTGCCAGCGCCTCAGCACCCTCACAGGGAAGAGCTTCTGCCTAAGAGCTCATCTCAGTCTCCCCTCTGGCAGGTTAAAGCCATTTCCAACACATGGGGTCTAACCCAACCTGTACTTAGAGGGGCCCACATCACATCTCTTGCTATCACAGTGAGTGATGCCTCATTCTGAGCTTCCAGTGCTGCCTGCATTTGTTTTTAATTTCTTTATGCTATTTTGTTCCCCTTCCATCTCTGAGTTCCTTAGGAAGGGAATAAAGGGAGTGAAAAATCACTAAGGGGTTGTTGAATCTCATTCTGCCAAGAAACAAGTGGAGACAATGAATATCTGCTTATGAGTTACAAGGTGTCTGGTATCAGTTCATGTAATGGGATGTTCAGAGAACAATGGGGAATATTGAGATGACTAAGCCAGTCAGTAACAAATCCCAACTACAATTAATCCAATGAGAAAACAGCTATTGCTGCCTGCTGTCAGTTCAAGGTATCTTCACCACTTCACCAGAGGCCATCCAGATTTGCCCCACGTACACCAGGATTGAATCCCACATTCTTTTGCAATATTAAACCTTCTGTCACCTGGAAGCCTGTAGGGTGGTATTTGAGTGAAAACCAAGTCATTAAGGTGTGTACTCCAGTAAGGGAAACAATAGAGATGTTTTAGTGCTGTTTGCCCCATGATATTGAGCTCTTTCCCCCTCAGCAGATCTCCAAGACATACAGCAAACAGGCATGTAAAAGCCACCCAAAGGATCCCTTGGGATGGGATTAAAATAGTCAACACCGGCACCTTATTATTTCCATGGAAACAATAGTCTGTGCCTGGTGCAATGGTTATGTCACTGGAAAATATCCATCCTTCCTAACCTAGAAACAACACATGACAAAGCCATTGGTGTCCTCTGCATGCTCGCCCTGAGACCCGCTGCTCTGCTCCGGCTTCATCCCAGCGCTGAGCACACTCAGCATCATTCCTGTCTAAAGCACTCTGCAGAATTGTTATTATGTTAATTAATTAAGCCCAATATTTCCATTAACACACTGATCTTCAGGAATGCAGTGAATCCTCCCTGCTGCATCCCAGAGAGCTGCACAGGTAACGGCTGAAGACCTTTCAAAGGGGTCACCTAGCAGGCATGCCATCTGGGGAAGAAGAAACCCTTTAGTCCAGCTACACTGGTACCCAGGTTGCTCTGTCATTTGAGCACCAGTCTGAAGCAGTTTTCATACTTTCATTCTGCAGGTTTGCATCTAAACAGGTGAATTGCTGGAAGGGGAGAAAAGAGGAGCAAATTCCCTTTGCATTTACTCCAGAGGACACAGAAAAAACCTGTTGGTTCTGCAGCACAGCCGGTAACAGGTTTGGTGCATCCTGCAGAGCTCCCAGGGACTTGGAGGAAGCATTTGCATGCGATGAGAGGAGCAAGGATGAGGCAGATGGGTACGCGTGATGGGTCTCCGGGGGTTCCCTGGCACCCAGGAAAGCCCACTGGGATTCCCAGGGTGGCCACACATGGAGGTTCTCTTCCATCCTGGTTTTGAGCGCAGCACAAATGCAATAACAGCAAAGAGACCTCTCATGAAGTCTTGATCTACCCCACTGCAGAAGAGCATGTCCTTCTAAGGGTGACACCATCCTCATTTTGAGCTTATATTTCTGGGTTCAGAATCCCTTGGGACAGTGAGGGATGGGACAAGCAGGAGGGTGCAGGACGGACTTTGCTGCTCTGTGGATGGGGAACCCACTCCCAGGGCTCACTGCGGGCTGGAGGACGGAGCAGCAGCTTGTTAGACGTGAGCCCTGTCGTTTTCCTTTATGAGTCAGTATAAGCTGGGATTACTCTGTAGGGCTGTCAGAAGCTTGGCAGAGCTGTGGAGCCCCTGGGCATTTGCTGAAACCAATTCAGCTCACCATGGAAGAGCCAACTTGTTATTTATCTAAAGCTATTGTTTGCTCTCCTGTGTACTCACACGGGCTCTCCGCCAGCGGAGCGGGTGAGGGAAGGTGTGAGGCTGTCTGTGTTTACAGATAGAGAATTATCAATTCTCTATTTGCTGCTGTGTTTTATGGTGGTGTGCAGCATTGTCCTCTTCCTTGCCAGCCCCGAGAGGATGGGTGAAGCAAAGCGACCGCCTGTTTGGAAAGACACCTTTCTGCAACACAGGGAGCCCTGAGCAGCAAGTCAGTGCAGGTCCTGGCAGGGCGGGGAAGCCTTTTGCAAACTCATGGGAAAATAGTTCCCGTGTGATGTGAAGCTCATTACCAAAGTCAGTGCATGACTTTTATTGCTGATTCTACCAGATGCTTGGCTGAGCCCATTTTAATCTCTTTCAAGTGGCACGGACCTAATTGGTATCTTAGAATTCCTCTTTGCAGCAGGAGGCTGATCCAAAGCCTCCAAATCAATGAGGAGCCTCCTGCCAGCTCCAGTGGATTTCAGACCTGCTTGCCAAATAGCCTCTATGAACCCTTGCATGGATGTAGCTGACCTGGTTGCTTCTTGATCTCAGCAGAGCACTGTGTCTGTGCCTTAGGAGCTGCTTTCTCAGACTAAAACCTGTGTCCCCATTTCAGACGTTCACCAGTCTAAGTCAGAGACCTCCACGTCTAAGTCTGGAGCAACCATGGCCAAGAGAATGGAGTTCTCCTTGTTGTTATCTGTCTGCTGGATGCAGCGATCAGTGAGATAGGACGCACAGCAAGGGAGAAGCAAGGCACTCTGCTGTCTGGAGAAGCGGTGACTGTCTGAAGGTGAAGGTGATGCTATTACATAGTCTGTGGTTTAAAGAGCCACCTGACAACAATCTCATAACTTTTGCTGATGCCATTATGTGTGGAGGGAGCTCTCCCTATGCAGAGCAGCATTAGTGAAAGGAAATAATCAATCTCTTGCCTTCAAACCTCATAAACCGCCCAGATTTCCTAACACCCTGGATTGCATCTGCCCTCTGCTCAGGGGTGTTTGCATGGGGCAGGTGGGCCAGGTCCACACCTCCTCCCTTTAGGAGTGCGCAGCGATGCTGGAAAGGACAAGGAAGTCCCTTAAAGCAGGGTGGAGACAGAAAGGAGCAATTCCCTCTGCACTGCAAGATCTAGAAACCATTATAGAGGAGCGCAGGCTGTTACCAAGACTTCTCCCTGTGGGACTCAAGAAGTCAGGGCAGCTTGGTAGGTCTCTTCTTTCAGCCAGAGACCATCACACACTGGCGGTGCCCTGCACTGGTAGGATGCAGGAGGATGCTCACGTGCAGCCAGGCAACGCCAGCATCCTGAATTTTACCCTGAACTTCTCCTCCCTGCTGCGAAATGAGTCTGTATGATTGAGGCCAAGCCTTGGGAGCCATTCATTCATATTAAAACAAGGAGAGCAGGCACCAGGAGGAAAGCCAGCAAAGATGAGCACTGATAGCACAAAGGTGCTCTTATCAGACCCAACGAGTAAGGGCTTTCCTCCACTGGCAGCAACAAAACCCTGCCTTTAACTTGACAAGAATTTGTGGATGCCCAGTTCTCAGCCTGCCATATGGGACCACTTTAGGAACATTAATTGGAATATCCAAGAGTCACACAAGACAGGTAAACATAAATAAATATCTTTAACCTCTTATTTCAACTGGTGCTAGAGAGAAAGTCAAACCGGCATTATCCCAACCATGACAGAGAGCCCATTCCTGGCTTTTGTTTAAGAGGAAAAGTCCCTCTCTTCATCCTGCTTTCCAGAGAAGCAGAAGCACAGAGGCAAGGCTTCTCTGGAAGCCCTGACAATCATGCTCCAATCTCAGTGCTGCCTTTCCCCGTCGGAGGCTCTCCCAGATAACTGGGTGTTTCTGACTTGTGCATCTAAGGACGCGATCAGTTCATTACCTGGCTCTCATTTTTTCCCTTGCAATTTGTTTGTTTCTAGAGCAGCAGACAGAGAGAAGTAAAGGACTCCGTATAAACACGTCAGGAGCAGGTTTCTCCCAGGCTGGAGGGCAAAGCGCAGGCAATGCAACATGACAGCGTCCCACCCTGAGTGATGGGTGGGGAGAACTCTCGATGCTGCTTGCGAAACGCTGTAGCTGCTGCCTGCTGCACACTCCATTGCAGGGAGAAAAATTGCAAAACCAGCACATATATTGTTTATCTATTTCTGAGCTGCTCTTTCCCACCTCTCCCGGGTGCTGCTTTGCCCTGTGCTTTTTCAGCAGGTTCCTGGTGCAGCTGAGATTTAAGGCTGGATGGTTCAGCTTGTGCTGGCCAGGGAAGGTGATGTCCAACGTGTACTCCAAAGCATAAACTCCCTTGCAAAACCTCACAGGGAGGTGAGGGTCTGACCGCGCAACGATGTGCAACAACTATAAATCAGTTTTCTTTGATGAGGTTGCCCAAACCATTCTATTTTGGGGATTCTTTTAAACTCGAATGTGTCATCACAGCAAATGACAAATTTTGTCCTGGAATCCTTTTGGAACAAGCTCCCACTGATGATGACAGATCTTTGTCCACAGAGGCAAAGTCAGCCAGGGATGGCAGGGAGCGTCCCCTTCTTGTGGAGAACACCTCTCATGCAGATAATGCATTTGGGAGAGAAAGCTCTGTGACTTTCTCCCACAGAAGACCTTTGTTTAAGGATCTACATAAGGTCCCTAGTACAGAGGGATCACCATAACAGCATGAAACAGAAGCCAAGCTGTGTGGCCAGTGCAGAAGAGCCCAAGACCCCAGCAGTGATACCAGAGGAGCAGTGGTGAGCACTGGTAGCCTCGTAGCCACTGGTCCCTGGCCTTCATGTGCCAGGGTTAGGGTTCTAACTGCTTTAATAAGAGCAGCATCAGACATGCTTGGAGACATCAGACACCTTGAGTACTGTGTCCAGCTCTGGAGTCGTCTGGACAGGAAAGACACAGAACTGTTGGATAAGGTGCAGAGAAGGGCCACAGAAACGATGAGAGGGCTGGAGCACCTCTCCTGTGAGGAAAGGCTGAGAGCATTGGGGTTGTTCAGCCTGGAGAAGAGAAGACTCCAGGGTGAACTTATTGTGGCCTTTCAGTTCTTGAAAGGGCCTATAAGAAAGATGGGGAGGGACATTTTAGCAGGGTCTGTTGTGACAGGATGAGGGGTGATGGGTTTAAACTAAAAGAGGGAGATTCAGGCTGGATGCAAGGAAAAAAATCTGTACAATGAGGGTGGCAAAACACTGGCCCAGGTTGCCCAAAGAGGTGGTGGATGCCCCATCACTGGAGGCATTCAAGGCCAGGCTGAATGTGGTTCTGGTCTAGATCAAGAAGATGTCCCTGCTCATTGCAGAGGGGTTGTACTAAATGAGCTTTGAAGGTCCAGTATTGCTGCAGGTGGGAATTAAGCCTCAGAGGGTCTTTGGTGGTGGCATGCATCCTGGCTCCACGTACTGCCTTCCCTTGGTTCCAGCCATTCCAGTAGTTTCCAGCAGGTGGGATTTGCCTGTGCCTGCAGTTGGGGTGAACAGCACACTTGCTGCAACCCAAGGACATCAGACTGTGACCATGGCTCTGAGCCCAGTGCTGAACCCCCATTTCTGGGGTGGCATTGAGGTGTCAGAGTCAAGGATGCAGTTCATGATGAGATTTCTGCCATGACTGCAATGCTTTAGGTGTCCAGTTTAGCTTACTTACACTTCCCTCAGGTTTGTCAGTGTAAACTGTGGTCACACTGTACCTCCTGAGGGACCTCAGGCACTGCTCAGGCCTTACATCAGGGCATAGCAAAACCATCTCCTCTGGGTGGATGGCTTTGCCAACTGGTGGCCACTCATAACTCACATCATCAGTAGGGTCACAAATGTCTCTAAGGGTCTTCTGGGTTCAACAGCACCTGGATTGAAAGATCACCCAACACAGAGAGCGTTGCAGTCACTCATGTCCCCATTACTGATTCCCACTGTGGTCACTGTGCCAATGGGACTGAACACTTCAGGCCTGAAGACTGAGCCATCCCCTAACAAATGAACCAAGGAAACACTGCAGCCAAGTGCAAACCTGCTGCCCTCAGAGAACCTTTTCCTGGAGTGGTCCCACTACTTTCAGTGCTACCTACATTATAACAACTCATTGCAGTGCTTAGTCACAGTGATGGTGAAACGAGGCACCCTGCAAGAGGAATAAACACAAAATAGTCTTTGTAAATCAGAGATCTCAGTCAGAAGTGTTGACTGAGCCTCCAGAGCTACCATTTCTTTCGCTCTAATATTTGACTGCCAGTATCATAAGGTTGGGAAGAAAACTCCAAAGCAAAAAGCTTGAGGTTTCCAAGAAAACACAAAGCAAAACAAAAGGAGGAAGTTGGGAATACTGGTTTTTAAGAGCTGTGGGTGAGACAGGAGACCTCCTGTCGCTCAGGGTCACCATCTAAGGCAATGTCTTAGATTAAGGCAGTCTAAGAGCAGTGCCTAAGTTGCAATGCTATGCAGCAGCAACATGGACATGGATTGCCTGTCACACCATAACTCCAGAAGTATTAAAAGTAATTTTCTTGAATGCCATCCTAGGTCAGTTCCTTGAAATACATGAACTTGCTTGTGCATCTCAAACTCCTCGGAAGCACTCACAGCACCAGCTCCAGCTGGAAAGAAGAGCAGCAATGTTCTCTTCGAACGTTGATTTGCTTTATCTTTGTTTTAGTGTCTTACAACCTGCACAGGCTTCAAACAGGTTGACAGAAGTTAAAGTTAACCCAAGGTGGAGGCTGGTCGTGGATGCGTGTAAACCTGTAATACTCTTCTGGAAGAGGCAAAATGGAGGAGGTTCCTCAGTGTGGTTGGGGAGTATGATGTCTGTTAAGCTTGTTAAGCAGATTTAGGCTTGAGGTTATATGTTCCAATGTGCCAATGGCACTTGGGACTCATCGGCCCTAACTGCAGTCATCTACCTGTTAGGTGACTGCTCTGATCCAGCTACCAGTGGAAGGAGATAGCCATCCAGAGGGGTTGATTCATCCTGACCTGACAGATCCCCAAGATAGAGGAGATGAATCACCTCCTCATACCTCTCTCTTTGTTGGCTGTGGGAGGAGTCTAGACTACTTGTTAAGACCAAATGGCTGATTTTCAGATAGACACAGTTAGGTAAGACTTTTCTTACTGTGAATCCTTCACAAGTCCCAGTCCCTTTTTCTAAAGTAACTGAGGTCCTGAAGACCTTGAGCAAAAATTTCCAGGAGGAAAGGCTTGTGAGACACTTAGGTTTGGACAAAGAGCTTCCCTCAATGGCAAATGCAGAAGAACCCTTCAGATAAAAGCCATGAGCTACGTAAGTCCATGGTGAACCAGAAGTGGCTGAACTGCTGTGTCCATGGTGTCTAACAGATGCCCTGACCTTCATAATCACCTTGCAAGCTGTTCACCAGAACACCAACATTGCTGGACTGAAACCCCAACAGCCAATGGCATTTCTAACCAAGTCGCATTTGCCCCTCTGTTATAATGATTGGGAACAAGATCAGGAGTGAACAAAATGAAGCAATAATCCTCACACCAGCAACACTAGCTGCAGTACCACCTTTCCAGCATGAGCATGAGCTGGAGGGGCAACTGCAGAGCTAGGGCTTAGCTTCATCTCTAACAAAAAAAAAACCAGCACCTAGAACAGTTTTGCTTAGACAAAGCATAATAAACTCCATTCAGGAATTAGAATATAGAAAAGCAATGTATCATTGAACCAAAACATCACAATCATAGAATGGTTTGGAATGGAAAGGACCTTAAGTTCATCCAGTTCCAACCCCCCGTGCCATGGGCAGGGACAATCATTCAACTTATGAAGCTCAGAGACTCCACCTCTAGCTCAGGAGGTCCCTCAGCTGCTACTTTCTGGTGGCCACTAAATCACTCTAGGATGCCTCACTGCCCTCTTGCTATGTTTAGACCCTTCTGAAGGAGCCTATTCCTGCCTTAGTGATGGAGACACGGCACCTGACTGGCTAGACCTCTGCTCTGACCCATCAGAGGCACCCTTTTGGTCTTATGTCAGGCAGAAACACCACTGTCTGGGATTTAACCAGCTCAGCAAAGGACACTGAAACAAGACAACAGGCAGTCTGTAAATAAAAGTTTCCAATGCCAGTGCTCCCAGTCCTTCCTACTGAACGTGCAGCAGGCAGCAAATCCAGTGATGCAGTATCACCGCATTGAAGCAAGCATGCTACACCAAGGCAACATAAATCTTTCTGAAGCTGAAGAATGCTGTGAAGAGGCAGAGGATCTGGCAGCTGCCAGGAGCAGCTTCAACCCTCTGTCTGCGTGCTCAACGCCAACATAAGCACTCTTCCTGGTTCAACCCTTTGATGGTTGACAGGAAGTTGCTTTACAGTCCCAGAGTTGTTGAAGAAAGCCCTTTATTTTGCCCTCATTCAAATCCCAGATCTGTGCATTGCTTCTTTCTACTTTATAGCTAATGAAAACCAAGGAAGAGCAGAATAGGTGGAGGAGCAACACCAGCACAAGTTGTCCCAGTAGACTTTGGAGTGGTTTGGAATCATTCCCACTGTACCTAGAGTCTGCCACCAAGGATAAGACCAGGATATCTGTGGGTTGTATAAACTCAGATTGCACAAAGACAAGTGCAATCTCCCCTGTGCTTTTTCTGGCAATCCGTAATATTTTCTTTGGAATCACTATGGGAGAAATGGACCACCTCTTTTCCAAGCTCAGAGAATATCTGCAAAGGGTCTGCACTTGCATTGCAATTGGGAATAGCAACACAGTTATAATGCAACTCCCCTGATCATCACTACTCAACCACGTTCATGGCGGTCACATAGGAATTTGGGTACATGGAAACTCTTGCAGGTGAGCAATGGGTGTGCTCCAAACTTGAACTGAGTTGTAAGAGTCTGAACCTGTAACTGACCCTAGAGAAAGCTTCAAACCTCTTGCGCCATGTGGATAATAATCCACAAAACCAAACTAGCTCTTGTCCACACTAAAATCCTCAACCACATACAATATATTATAGAGTCCTCAATCATCCTCTTCCATTGCATTGAATTACTGTCTAAGATAGCCATAGCCATGCATAATCTCTCTCTGGCAAGCTTATGAAGTGCTATGACCTTGCTACATGACTGCTCTGGCTAGAGGGTGCTTTCTGCATAGGTTACCTCAAGAGGATGCCACAGTTCCCATATAAAAGAGTATCTTACCGGATATCCCCAGTTGCTGTTTCCTGTTTGGGTTTTGGTATAATAGCTGCCCCGGGATGTCCCATAGCCATAACCATCAGCTAAACCATCGTACATGGAACCTGGAAGTGAAAAAAGCATGGTCAGCAGGAGAAAGCATTCCCAGCAGGCACTCCTTCAGAGCACAGGGCTCTTTTCACCAGTGAGTTTAGTTCCTGAAGAGAGCAGAGCTAGAAACCTTAACAGGAACACAGGAAACGGGAAGTTGAGCCCTTGCCATTGCAGACCACTCATAGGGGATGTTCATTTCAAATGAGCTCTTGGAAATTCCAGCCCTCAGACCACAAGGAACAGCCTAAGGTTTTCAGCACAAAAGACTGAGTACCATAAGATCTACAGTGGACAAAGTCAGAGATTGGCCCAATGTCTTAGGTCTTTGCTATATGAGAGGAACTAGATGATAGTTTGTGCTACACATCCAGGAAGGTCTGAACCTGGAACATTCTTCCCTTATTCTGCCTTGGAGGTAAATAAAATCTGTCTCTTCTCTGAAGGCAAAACCCATCCCAGACCCTTTCACCAGCCTGGGTTTCCTGGTCTGAATATTAACAACCACATCAGCACGAACAAGCTGAGCAAGGCTCAATAAATAGTAAATAACTAATACGATGGGTAAATGATGATCAAGTCTATTTAACACCTGGGGATCTGAAACAGTCAAACACTAAGAAAAACATAATTTCACTGCCTTAAATTTCAATCTCCAGTCTCTAAAAGATCACTCTGTGTGCTTGTACTTTCTTCTTCTGAAAATGTATCAAGGTCCATCGCTGTCTTTGAGTTGCTGGTGTGAGACCAGATCTCAGACACATTCTGTAAAGAGGCAAATATCTTGGACTGGGAACCATTTGCACTATTTCTCAGTGCTTTATTCAGTGTGCAGATTTACCTGTCCCAGCCCTACTAAAAGCTCTTCCAGCTGCCTCTCACCAGTAGCCTTTGGCAGTGCACTCTTTGGATCCCTCCTAAAAGTATTTTACTCAGCGCTACACTCATCACTAGAAGAAAAAAGTGAAGCAAGTTATATCTCTTTCCATGCTAGAATTCCCTTCACCCCTTTCAGATGGTCCAAAAGAGTATAAGGTCATTTAAGTTTCATGCTCAATAATTGTGGCATCCCAAGTCCCGTTATGAGGAAGTGCAAACCTTACATTCCAATTAACTTCCAGGGGAAGCTCTGAATGTCTAACGAAGTACAAAATCAGGATGTACCTGTCTTAAGTTATGCACCTAAACTGGTGGGTAATGTCAGAAATATCCTAATCTCTCTGATTGTTCGATAAGACTCATCTCTTAGATAAACTGGATAAGCTCAACCACAAAGGCCCTGAAGCCACTCAAGGTCTTCTACAGCCACTGATCCTTGGAATAAATCTAGTTTATTGCCTAGCCTGGGGCATCCGGAACCTGTTATGGTGATTTGGTTTGTGGCTAAAAATTCTTGCATTTTCTCAGGAAGATGATTCCTGCAGATGCGGTACAAATAATGAGATTTGCTTTCTATTGTCAACAAGAAAAGAACAAGGCTGCATGGACGGCAGCGTCTGAAGAACACCACTGCATGCAGAATAAGCAGCAGCGGAGTAGTCTCACAGACATACACTTATGCAGAAAACCACAGGATCTCATTGCCCTTAGTCTAGAGACTTGGTGGGCATTGTTCCCTATTAATATCTCTCTAGCCCTGAGAGATCTATTAAGATATATCTGCATATTAAAATCTATTAAGGCATAGATTTTCATATATCTTAATGATACAGATTTTCATATATCTTAATATATCTTTAGTTGCACAGAGCTTGCTGATAAGGCAAGGAAATGGCCATCGACATGCAACTGGAGACACAATTCAGCTGTGCCCTTCACCTTGTGCTTCCCTCCCCGCCCTGAGATTTCCTGGGAACTCCAGATCAGGACATTACTGTTGGGCTTCAACAGAAGCAAGGCAGGGCTTGAATGGTAAGTTTGGGCCAAGTGATTCACCAGGAGACAGAATTAGCCAATAACCATAGTTTTGAGCACAAAGATAAGACAATCTCATGACAACAGTTTCCTAGGAATTCCTTCTTACAGTCAACCTCTTGTTCTGTGCAGACACCATGGAACTGCAGGTGTGAGTGCTTGGGAGCATTTTCCTGGCCACAAATAGGAAGCAAAGGTTTCTGGGCACAAATCACAAGTTAATCTGAGCAGCCCTTCCTGGGGACCATGCCTTTCCTTTCAGGATCCATTCTTGCCATGCACTGCACTCAAGCTTTTGGGGTTGAGCAAGGAGACACCAAAAATAAGGCAGTTTAGGCACATTTCTAATTTTCGTGTATGAATCCACTGCTACATGGCCAGCTTCAAGAGAGCAGGCAGTTCATGCAAGTTTATATTCTTCAGTTGTTGAAGAGTTGCCTTCACCTCCAAGAACTTGTATATGAATGCTTATAAGTACATAATTATACATAACCTCAAACGTTCAAGGCATTTGGAAGCTGCCTTGCTGGTTGGAGAAGGTGCTTCTCCTGCTACCATGCAACTGTGGTTTATTGCTTGGAGAGCTCAGTCTGAAGGCCAGGAGGAACCTGAGGATTTTCTGATGGAGTTAGCTAAGAAAACATCATCTTTGTTTAGTCCCGCAACGTTAGACACTTCTCTGCCTGGTTCATCTCAAGAGCCACCTTGGGGGTGTACCACCAGCCCTTGGGCAAGGAAGAATATTCTTTTTAACCACCTCAAGGGTAAAAACCATACAACTGCTCACAGGTCCTGAGAATATGGATAAAAATAGACTGTCTGTCTCCTGAGCAAAGCATTTTGACAAGGGGTGGAAGTGCTATTTGGGGAAGATGCCTCTGTGGTGGTTTTTTGTAGCTATATCCCTACGTTCCATTTGTTGTCATCCAAGAAGCCGTTCAGGTTTCTGAAGTGCCCTTGGACAAACACAGAGATGATCAAACCCACTGTATTAGTAGTAGATAACAGCCAGGACGGAGGCAGAAAAGACATGGATGAGAATCACTGAGATGAAACAGCCTCCCAGTGACCATGGCTGTGGGCAGAAAATACTGCTGAGGGCTGCTCAGGTGCTGGCTGGGCTTTGAAGGGACCCCTCTCTCCCACCCCCCAAACTCTCATTCACCCAAGGCATCTCCTTCCAAACCTGATCAGTTTAAATCCTCATTGAACTTCAGTGGGACAGTTCCTGAGGGTAAAAACTACACCAGGCTGGGACTGCAAGATCTGGCACTTGGTCACTGTGAGCCTTGCCTTCCTCCTCCTCCTCTCTGTAGCTGTTATAGATCATTGAAGAGCAAACTGCGGCTTCCATCCAACCCAATATGCCTGTCCTTGATGAGTTATTTACTTTCTTCAAAGGCAGCTTTACACCCCTTGAAGCTAAGAGACTGATGGCAAGGAGAATTAAATGCCATTTTTCAAGCATGACAGTGAAAGACTTCAGAGACACATGGAGCTAACAGGGAGCATTGTGGAAATGGATACACGTTAATAAATATTAATCTATGGCAGGGAAAAGCAAGACAAGAACCAGTCACTGGTAGTGCAGGCTAAACAAGTTAAATAATAAACTATGCACGGCTTTAAAACAGTAAGGATGATTAAACATAGAAAAAGCATAGTAAGAGAAAAGGGCCTGTGGGAGGCACAAAGCAAAGCCTGGATGCCTCATAGGACAGAAGTGGCAGTGGAATTCCAGAAGCTGTAATTCTTGCAGGAATGACCGAACCCCATTTCTGTCTTCTGGCCTATTGAGCTAAAAGGTTTTGGTATTGTTTCTGTACCGATAATCTAAGGGTTGTGGAACCCTGGATGACTTTCACTGAACCCTCTCATGCCAGGGAAACATTACAGAACTCTTCAAAACTCTTACTAACCCCCACATCTCCTCTTCATATCAGAGTAATGACCCCGTCTTAGAGCTAGGTGGGATCCCATTAGAGCTAAGTGGGATGCCATTAGAGCTCCCCTCTCAGCCATGTCAGCATGACAAAGGTCTAAATCACAGCTCAGCTATGAGACAGCTGGATAGGATGGTCCCTGTGGGTTTCCTCAGGTCTTTGCTCCCTGATATACCCTGCCAGCCAGTGACGAGTTACTGGCAAAACTTCTCTTTAGCCAGAGGACTTTGCAGACCGGTGCTGTTGGCTGCGAGGAGCTTTTTCAGCTTGGCCTGGCCTTGTCTCCTGCCACTGAAATTCCTTTTCCCTGGAAATTTGCATGACTCACAAATCCAGAGGGAGCCATCCGGTTAGCTATTCCCATGGGGAGAAGGGCAGATACATCCTAAGGCAGAGCCCAAAGACCCAAAGCCCAAGGGTGGCGGACTCCACAGACCCAAAACTCTGCACCCATCCTTGAGAACACCCATAGCTGCTCTGCTGAGAGAAGGCCCCACCGTGGGTGCAGGATTATGCTGCTTGTAACTGGTTTCTGCTCACTGCCCCACGCCAGTGCACACCAGTTTGAGCCCACATAGATCACATTCCCTGCTCTGCCTTGTGCCACGTATTGAGTGACACCAGATCTTCAGAGGGTGGTGATCTGGTGGGCTCCAAAAACCAAGGAATTTTACATATCCATGAAGTAACAGGACGTTGAGGGAACGTCTGTTGACCCTCTAAAGAAACCCCATTTATGGGATACAGCAGTGCCCATCCCTGCTACATGCAGAAGGGGTCCATGTCCACGCTCTCACCCTACATAGAGAAGCGCACACTGAAGGTAGGGGAAGCTCTGTGCTGTGCTTCAGTTCCTGCCCAAACCACAGATCAAAATGCACAACAGACGGCTGGACCTGGACCAACACCTAACCAGACACATGCAGGAAACTGTCTGGGTGCAGAGGGAACAAAGGACCTGAACATTCTTCAAGGGGCTTTGTGAATTCCCCAGCTTGTGCTGCCTATGAGGAGCATCTCTGAGAAACCACGGGGGGATGCAGGTAACTGATGCTGGGGGAGCATTTGAACAAGCAGACATCTATAGCTGGCTACAGCCCCATGGAGCCTGTTTGTAGGAGACATTAATGCTTCTCATTAGGTCTAACCTTTGTACCAACAGCAATACCTGAATGTTTAACTTGACCCACTCAGGCTTAGACACAGAAGCAAACCTGGAGAATAAATGGGAGCTTCTTTGGCATTCTATCCAGGAATGCGCTGAGCACGGCCACCAGGACCTTCACACTGACCAACCTCCCCACAGTGGGAATAGGGCAGCCTCAGCCCTGTGTTTGGAGGCAGTTCCTGGGAGCTGGATGTGACTCAGCTTCCCTGGGACACAGAAACCAGAGCTGCACATTTCCACGCAATTCCCATTCCCAGGCATTTCCAGCAGTGTCTGGAGGAGGGGTTTAGCTTCAGCCTCGAGCTGAGATGAGCAGCATGAGAATTTGCCTCTTTTTGTTTTCCTCTTTCCCAGAGGTTTCACGTGGGCTTCTCCAAGTGGAACAATCCCCCTTTGCCTCCCTTCCTCCCTGCTATGGGCAGCAGTGGGAGACATCTCTCTGCCTGCTTCCCCTGGAAATACCCCTCTGCTGGAAAGGCAGTGCCAGTCCCCATCCAGAGCCTCTCATCTCATCCTGGGTTGTAGCTTATTTTGTCAGGTCTGGCACCATAGCACCTCAAGCACTAAACCCTCCTGAGGTAGGAGGGGATTTGCATCTTCCACTTTGGTGGCAGGACAAAGCTCTCCTTGCTCTGTCCCCCCACATACCCCTGGGAGTCTATGTCCACAAGCACACAAATAAAGAGAAAGCAGGGATTTGCTCCTGGCAGTGTCACTGCATCCGTGTCATCCACCGTGGAGCTGCTCTGTTTCCTCCATCGCAGCAATTGCAATGAACACAGCCAGGATGGCTCCAAGGGCAGCACCACCTCAACCGCAGCCTTCTGCTGCCCTGCTTCTCTTGGTAAACCAGCCCAAAATGTGTGTTTGCACCATTACACTTCACCAGCACTGGATTCAGCCTCATGATCCCGCTTGGAATAGCTGCCAGGCAAGCCATAGTCCCCAAAAGAGGTGGCAGAGATTGGCCCAGCTCACCCCGCACCCCAGCAAACAGCCCTCTGCATGCTGCCCACCGCAGACGTGGCTGAACGGTTCAATCCCAGCCCCAGCCCCCTTCTCTCCCCCAAAGCCTTGGGAATTCCTCTTCCCGATGAACTCATCCAGCGCAGTGAGCTCACTGCAGCTGCTGGGAAAAGCACTTCCAAGAACCGGGAGGTTTTGCACTGTGCCTGCCACAGCCCTCTGGGTTCGCAGCTCCCGGATGGGCAAAGCTGGGGTTTACCTCCCGGTCAGCTTCCTCCAGACACAGGGACAGCAAGGAAAACAATCAGCCAAGCCTTGACCCCAAGAGGAAGGTATCCCTGTAGGAAACCCAGCTCCAGGACCCTGAAGATCACTTGTCTTCTATGGCACAGACTCAGTGCATAGAGGTGGACCGGCTGCCTGCACCCCTACACCCTTTTTAACCCATCTGCTAAATGGAAGCACTCCAAGTGAACCAACACAAGCCATTGTGGTTAGAAAAGGACATCTCTCCTCCTAACTCATCTCCTCCCAAGTGCTCACACCGGGGTGTCCTGGAGGCTCCCACACTTCTCAGCCTACAAATGGGAGACGCGCTGGGAGCTTCCGAGGCGAATCCCAAGCTCAGGTCTGTGTCCTGTGTGCAGGCAGAGCTGCCCAATGCTCAGGATACAGCCGAGCCCCTGCCTGTGGCCAGCTCCCGGCCCCATGGCACAGTGGATGGCTTTGGCCACCCATGGGAGGGGATGGTACTGGTGGAGGACTCGCAGAGGAAGGATCTGCAAAGGTGCAGCAAATCCTCCTTTAGGGCCAGGGAGCAAATGGTGAATAGCACCACACTGAACTGTCCAAGTGCCTTGAGGATGTGGAGCAGCACAGCGCTCCCAGGAGATGGGCTCCACCGGGAGGGAGTCGATGCATCCAGCTCTAACCCTTCCATCCAGTGCAAAAGACCTCAGCATCCCCTACCTGGGATAACCTGTGAGAGACAAGAACCAGTCTGTCCCCCACAAACAAAACCCCATAGAATCACCCCATAACATCTGCTCCATCCTAAGAGGGGAGCCCTTTGCTGTCCGGAGCACGGTGGGGTTTTACCTCGATTGGAGTGTCCCACGCTCGATGACACGGATGACTTTTGCTTCTGCCGCTTCACCGTCATCATCACTTGCTCTTGGACCCGCTGTTTTCCCGTGCCCTTAGTTTTCAGCTTGTGGTCCGAGGGCAGAGCCAGCGTGGAGCTGGCCTGGTCTTGGAAACACTCATACGCCAACGCTGTTTTCAGTGGAGAGTGGAGCATGGCTGCGAGCAGACCGCGGGGCTGGGGACGGGGGGGCTGCACTTCACCAGACCGCACACAACGCAAGGCGACAGCAAAGGCTGGGGTTAATCTCCTGAACCCCTCCTTGCCATACGTCCCCCAGCCAAGGGTGTCTGAGGGCTCCTGCTCCCGGCTCGGCTCCGCGGCGTGTGAGCAGGCACACCCTCTGCCAGACTGGATATACAGCCCTGCCTGCACACACCCACCGCTCCCCGCTGCAGGGCACACACAGCTCCCGCTGCCCTCGCCCCACATCTGCCTCCCCCAGCATGTGCCGGCACACACTGGGGGCAAGGGGAGCCTGTGGGTATCAATGGGGACCGGGCAAGGCTGGGAGGAATGAGGGTTAGCGATGGACATCGCCATTCCCTTCACAGGGAAGGTGCTCGTGGGTGAGGCTCTGTGGGTCTGGGTAGGGAATAGTGCTCTTTGGTGGATGGAGAGCTGCAGGATCTCCCACGTAGCCTGCTCAGCTTGTATTTTACTATTTCCCTTTGTCTAAAATGGATCAAAATGGTGTCCCAGTGCCAAGAGCCTGGGGACACCTCTTCTAGTAGGAGGCAGCGTTGAACACACCACAGGTCAGAGGAGCATTGCTGCCCTCAGTGCCCATTCCAGCCTCCATCCTGCTGAGATGCTCCTCCCTTGGTCAGGGTGTCCAGCTCCCCACTTGCTTGCTCTGCCTGCCCAGGACTGCAGGGTCACCTGCACAGCACTTAAAGTAGGGGTCACAGAGGGTCCTGCTGCGTTCATGGGGGTGAGACCTCTTCCCCAAAGGGGTTACAACTTCTTCACGGACATCCATTGGATGAATGAGGGCAGGCACCAGGGAAAGAGTTGGGGGAACCTTTGCAAGTAACTTGGGGTAGCACGGAGGAAAGCAGGACTTTTAGCCAGCAGAAGAGAAGGCAGAGTGGCTGCACAAGAAACGACATGCCAGGTTCTGAATCCGAGCAGAGGGTTTTCCCTCTGCCAAGCCACGCTGCAGCAACTCGTCTGCAGAGAACCGAACACCTCGGTGCTGGTGTGACCAGTTTCAGGTCGCAGCAAGCGCTGACAAAGCTCCTGCCAAGCCGCAAGAGGCTGATACAGAAGAGGCACAAACCCCAACTGGAGGGAGGCTGAGGGGAGGGTGCACAGGGCAGAGGCTTCCTGAGTCTCCCAGGACAGCCCAGAGAAGGGCCAGGAGGAGCGGGCTCCTTCCTGCTGCCCCATGGAGGGTGAGCCCCATGGACAGGACCGTGGGGTTTCTTTCTGGTGGGAAACATCAGTGCCCAGGCTCTGCCCACAGGCCTGGTGCTCTCAGCACCCACACGCTGGGTCCTTCCTTGAAAGGAGAGGGAAAGCACTTTGTTTTGGCCCATTCATCAGGTTTTCTGTTTCCACTGGTGGCATGTGAGCAGTGTTTTGTATTCATAAGAGCAGTATCAGAAAGCACAGGGCGTCTTCCTTGGATAGATGAGCATTGTGCACCTTCTTCTGATGCTTCAGGATGCTCTTCCAGTGAAACCCAACTGCAGAAACCCATTGAGACACAGGACTAGAGCAACTAGAGGGTAATTACCTTTAGTCCCCTCTCCCTACATTTCCTGACACCTCACCCAAGGGATGCAGAGCCTTCCCTCTGCTCCATCATCCAACCAGCCTGGACATTTAGAGCATGCCCAAGCAAGACCAGCCATGATGAGGGCTGAGTGCTGCCCATGAGCAGATGGACGATGCCCAAGTGGGATGGAGAAGGATGAAGAGTGGGGATGGGTCTGGGTGCTTCCAGCCCGGGTAGGGAACAGCAAAGCAATACCTGGGTGTTGTTTTGCTCTGTCCTACTTGTTTCTCCTGAAAGCTTGTTATCGATGCCAAGCGATGTTTTCGCAAATCAATGACAGGCTGTCAGCGTCAGATGGCTTCTGCACAACAAAGTGCCCAGCTCTTGCAAACCTGTAATGTCATTTCCCCTACGGCAAGGAACAGCCCTCACCCTGTCCCTGCACGGGAGAGCCAAGTGTTTATCACAGCCCGTCATTTGGCTCCGGCATCTGCCCTGTTTCATAACTCACCCAAAATGCTGAGCTGGGCTGCGGAGATGGGGATGGAGCTCACAAAGGCTTTCAAGAAACAACAGTTTCTTTGGGCAAATTTGTATGATCCAGCACAAGGGAGAGAAACCTGGAGAGGGGCTTTGGACAAGGACCTGTAGGGACAGGCCAAGGGGAATGGCTTTAACCTGCCCGAGGGGAGACTGAGATGAGCTCTTAGGCAGAAGCTCTTCCCTGTGAGGGTGCTGAGGCGCTGGCACAGGGTGCCCAGAGAAGCTGTGGCTGCCCCATCCCTGGCAGTGTTCAAGGCCAGGTTGGACACAGGGGCTTGGAGCAAGCTGCTCTAGTGGCAGGGGCTGGAGCTGGATAAGCTTTAGGGTTCTTTCCAACCCAAACCTCCCTGGTTTCTGCAAAACCCTCCAAACCCATGTCCAAAAGAGCAAAAGGTATTTAAACGAAGCAGCTCATTGCACCTCTGTGCAAACTGCTGCTTCTGCTCTGTACCGCGGGCTGGGGATGCTTACTTAGCAGGGCACAGTGAGTGTCATCCCCAGCGCAGCAGCAGAGCTTGCATCTACCAGTGCCTGAAGCAAATTCCCTGTCTGCCTCTCTGTCTGGAGCTCACAGGCAGCAGCGAGGTGGGGGGAAGGCAGAGAGGGCACCAACCCCGAATTCAGGGTGCGATGGGCAACAGATCGGAGGGTGAAATAAAGAAGACATTACAATAAATCAGGGCTGCAGTGATCCGAGGGTGTCGGGGCCGTCGCCGCGGTGCGGGGTGCATGTGCATCGCATGGCGATGCCGTGACTCACGGCCCCGCGCCCCACACGGGACACACCTTGTGCATCTGCCCTCTTCAAAGCATTTTTGTGCGAGTTCCTGGGATGCCTGCCAGCTCGCTGATCGCAATCAAAGGGCTCGCTGGCCCAGCGCTGCTCCCAGGGCCGCGCAGGGTTCGCTGTTCCAACTTGCCAGGCACTCCTCGGCTGGAAGTGGCTACGGGCTGCTGTGAAATCTGCCACGGGAGAGCAGTTGGCTCCCAAACCTGGAGGCAGGGAGTGCTGCTGTGGGGTTCCTTTAGCACCCAGGGTTGCTTCATCCTCAGGGCGGGTGGTGATGAGGAGGGACAGAGGTAAAGGGGCTGGGAATTCCCTGTATTTGCCTCTGAGCCTTGCTGCAGCAGAGCTGAGGCTTCCCAGAGCCTGGCACGGTTTCTCCATGAGGAAACCTCACTCTTCAGATTCACAAAGCCTTTGTTTTGCTCTGCTCTCAGGAAAGGGTCTCTTTCTTCTGTGGGACCAGAAAGCGGCACCGGAACGGGGCAGATGGAGAGCTCAGACCCAACAGGGCAAGCAGGATCCAGCTGAAAGCAAGCATGGAGCTGCCAGGCTGCGGGAAGCCATGCAGAAGCCTGCTGAGACACGCGGGCAGGTTGCTCTTGAGCAAAGCCTTCCCTCCGCTCCTCGCACACGTGTGGCACTCAGGTGGTGCTGCAGGAGGATGAGGAGGTGGGACAGACCACGGGCTAGCCCTTGGCAAAGCAGGCAGGCTTCACCAAGCCCCAGAGGTCTCCTATTGTGGATGGGAGCTTAGGTGAGGACACTAAGGAAGGATCGCTCACACCGAGCAGCTGCGAGGCTGCATGCAGCCAGATGAAAGCATTGCGTAATGGAGATAGAGTACCTGGGAACTAAGTCACTGCATCATTAAGGTGTGTCCTAACAGAAACATGGAATAATTGAGATAGGAAGAGGCTGACCTTCTGCCCAAACACAGCCAGCTTTGCTGGACTGGGTCAGGAGCCAGCTGCTCCAGACCTTGTCTGGTTGAGGTTGAATGGTGATCCCGCAGCCTCTCTGGCCTCTCTCCCAGTGTTTGACTTCCCTCATAGTGGATTTTTTTTTTTCCAGGTATCTAAAAGGAATTTCCCATATCCCAGCTTGTTCTTGCTGCCTCTTTTTCTCCCCCCATGCACCTCTGAAGGTCTGGCTCCATCTTCTCTGCATCCTCCAGTTAATTTGCTGTGTAGAGTGTAAGATCCCTCTAAATTTTCCATCATTCAATCTGAACCAACCCACCTCTCCCAGCCTTTCTTTGTGTACCCTGAGCTCCACCCCTGACCATCCTGGGGGACTGGAGACCAGGACAAGCCCAAGCCCTTGCCAACTGGACCTCCTTGGCCTCATATTCCTGGTTCCCTGCTTTTCCTGCCTCTGTGGGAGATGGCCCATGTAACGCACAGCAGGGAACACAGAGCAGGGCAGGACATCTATGGGCTGGAGACCACCCTTGAAAGTCTGTGAGGGAACCTGCAGGTGCCCAAGAGCAGGTCCAGACTCAGCTGCTATCCAGGCTGAGGGTACAGGTTGTCTCTTCCGCCCTTCCCTGCACTTGGACATCCCCAGCCAAACAGCACATCCCAGGTCCCACCTTTGATGAACAGCAGCATCGCAGCTCTGAACTGCTCACAGTTGTCAGCGGCTAAAAGAGGAACGTGCTGTGGTCAGCAGGTACCCTGGAAACAAGCACCAGGGGTGACCATGCAGTGACAGGGAAGGGCAGGCACCAGGGAGGTGCCCTGGGTGGGGAGGATGGTGATGGAGAAGGAAGGATCTCTGCTTCCCCTCCAGGAGAAGGCCGTGAAAGAGGCCAATCCACCCAGTTTAGTCTCTTTGTGCCCCCATCTCACTTGAGGAGCCTCCACAAGATTGGTCAAGGAGCTGCTGACCTCTTCCCATCTCTACCCAGTACCCTCTGCCATGGCAATGTCCAGTTCAGGGCAAGCTCAGCCTGTGGCTGTCTCTTCACCCATCTCTGTGAAGGAAGAGATGCTTCACACCGAGACTTACCATGTGGGAACCTGTGGCAAAGCCTCTCCTTGCTACGGTCCTTGCCCAGCAGCTCAAGGGCAAAGTTTGTGACAGGGTTTGAATGAGCCTGGGATAACAAATTCCTTTGCAGAGCCCCAGGAGGCGGCATCAGATCCCAGCTCAGGATCTCTGGGGCTGGCCTCTCCCAAGGTCTTCCCTGGTGCACCACAGTGTATAGGCTGTTAATCTGCAGGAGAGGATATGTGGGAGGAGATAGGTGC